AAAGTTTTTCTTAGCTTTTACAAAATTGAAGTGTACCATCCATTCAGAAAAGTACACAGCTGACAACCCAACGCTTCACTTTCCCTCCATCTTCACACACCACTGTTGGGACTCCTTCACATGCCAGGCTTCGTCCCCATGCCCCTGACCATGAAGGCGTCCCCCTTCCCGCCACCTCCTTAGTGAGCAGCCAGGTTCCAAAGTCCCATCCTGAAGGCCTGCTTCCCAGGACCATGTATGGCACCTACTCTGAGCCTGGGTCCCACAGGGGCTCAGGGGCAGGCCCCTGACTGGGGAGGGGGAAGGAAGGGGGAAGGCATACGGGAAGGTGAGCCCCATCCCTCCCAGATCAGCAGGTTGGTTTGGAGGGAGGGGCTCGCTTCTGCTGGAACCCTAGCGCCTGGGGTTGTCCATCTGAGGGGTTACCCACTGGCTCCTGGCTCCCACTAGCCATCAACTCCTCCGGGTGCTCACGTCCATGCCTGTGAGCGAACGGTAGAGAGGGGGTGGGGGCGGGCCCAGGAGCGCCTCTGCCTGTTCTCTGAGGCTCCCCGTTCCCCCCAGGCAGCCAGCACTCGTGTTGCTGCGTGTCTGATGCCTTGAGGGTTCCCTCTTCGCCTTTGGTTTTGAGGAGCTTTCCTGTGCTGTGTCCTCGGGGATTTTTGTCGTGTGGCTGGCTCCGGCGTGGCCACACTGGACCGAGTCGTTCTGAGCTCTGAGCCTTGCAGAATTCTGGAAAACGCTCAGCCATTCCCTCTCGGAACAGAGGTTCTGATTCTCCCGGCCCTCCCCTGGGGCTCCAGTGGTATGCGTAACTCTCCACACAGGCCCAGGTCTATGAACTCCTCCCTCCCCACTTTAGGAAATATTTTTTCTTTCCTTTCCTTGCTTCTCAATTTGTGTTGTTTTCTCCATCCCTCTCTCTTCCTCTCTAAAAAAAATCAATAAAATATATTTAAAACAATGATCGGGGCAGGCAGGTGGGAGATGTTCGGCTGCATACGGTGCCAGCAGTCTGGGTGACAGGAACACGAAGGCCCTGGGGGAGGGGGGGGGGGTCCAGCTCGGCGGGGACACGCAGGGGCAGTGGGAGCGAGGCGGGGGCGAGGCTCAGCTTCTCTCTGTTGAGGGGCCGGGCCTGCAGGCAGGAGGGACAGGTGGACACTCATGGCCGGGGTGAGCACCCCCGGGTGTTGTCAATCACTTGGCGCTTGCACACGCTCCGCGCTCCCCCGGTCGTTTTATACGACATAAAGATGACATTTTATGGCCAAATTTGTTCACAGACATGCCTCGCGTTCTGCTCTCCAGTGCATAAGGAAGTCATTCTAAATTCAGCACGAGTGCCAGTTTGACTAAAAAAGTTAAGTTTCCATTTCCAGAAAAACGTTAATCGGATTCTTGTTAGAACATGTGTAAGGAGCGGCCCTCGCTGTCGCGGCGCTTGATGTCAGATGACTGAAGTAATTTATGTTTTGTCGTGGGAACTGGGGTGCACGCAGCACCTCCCCGGTCACGTGACCACGCCTCGGCGCCCCCCCCCCCCCACTTCCTCCTGACACGTAGGAACTGTTTGTGTTTTGCGGTAACAAATGAACGGCAGGAACGGCAGAATTTCAATGTGCCTGTTCTTTATTTGATTAAATATATTCTCTATTTATTCCTTTAAAAAAAAAAAACTAACTTAAGTTAAAGGGCAATAAACCATGATAATTTGGAAAACATGTTGAAACTGAGAGTGAAGAAATATGTTCTGTACGTAAAACCGCACTGTAAACCATAAAACTTATTTTCGTCAGCTCCTCTCTGACAGTGGCTGGGAATCTGACATTTCTACTGCAGTAGGCAAACCCGTGTGAACAGCTCTCCCATGCCACGCCATGTCTATTTATAGTCCAGCCTGAAGCAGCACTCGCCTACCCTTTGGACGTCACGGACCCGGGTTGGCAACTGCTGATCTAAAGCACGGAGCCCCCAAACACTGAGTGTGTTCACACCGGGGCCTGCGTGTTCACACCGGGACACGTGCGTTCACACCGGGGCCTGCGTGTTCACAGAGAGTTGTGCATTCACTCCAGGACCTGCATGTTCGCATTGGGACCTGCACACTCACACCGAGACCTGTGTGCATTCACACTGAGACCCACATCAGAGCCTGTGTGTTCACACGGGACCTGTGGGTTCACCCCTGGATCTGAGCATTCACATTGAGACCTGAGCGTTCACACTGGGACCTGCACACTCACACTGAGACCTGTGCATTCACACTGAGACCTGCACACTCACACTGCAGGTTCACACGGGACCTGTGGGTTCACCCCTGCATCTGAGCATTCACATTGAGACCTGAATGTTCACACTGGGACCTGCACACTCACACTGAGAGCTGTGTTCACACCGGGACCTGCATGTTCACACTGGGATCTGTGGGTCCACTCAGCAATACCCTGACTGGGTGAATCTGCGTGGCGAGGCCACTGCCCTGAGCCACCGGAACGGATGAGGCCTGGCTCCCCAAGGACCACTGCCCTGTGACCCAAAAGGTGTGAGCTCTTCAATGAACTCTGGTGGACACGAGACGAGAGACCCATCCTGGGCAGTGAGACCGAGTGCCCGTCCGCAGGAACAGCGGGACCTCTCGCCCACTCAGCTGCCAGCCCCGCCAGCCGGAGAGAAGGGGCCAATCGAGGCGGGCATCTTCACACAGGAAGTGACCTTTACCGCGAACCACAGGAACATGCTAATTCTCCCGTCTCATCTGCACCAGACCACACGGCTGACCAGGCACAGAGGCTTTCGGATAAAACCCCCTCTCCTCTCCCAGATAAGAAGTCGGAGCCATGCGCTCCTTTCCCTGTGGGAAGGGCATTTGGTTTGGGGTGTCATGTTGTAAAACAGTCACACTCACCTGCTGGGAGAATCCCACAGTAAGTGTCTCCCAAACCACGCTGCTCATCTGGGCCCCGCTGTCTGGGATTGCCGCCAGCGGGGTGCGGGCCTGGTGACACGGGCTGTGGGCTCCGAGGCCGGAGGAGGAGGGCTCAGCCAGCTGAAGTGACAGCGGGCCTGCGGCCGTTCACGAGGGCCAGAGAGGCTCAGGCCGCAGAGGCTGCGGTCTCCAGAAGGTTCCGGAGGAACGAGTTAGCGCGGAGATCCGGATTTTGACGAGAGCGACCCTTCCTGGAGGAGGCAGGCCCGGGCAGGAGGCCCCGGGGCAGACACAGGACTGCGGCTGGCGTGGCCAGGCGAGCGCTCCTGGTCCCACAGCGCACACCGACAAGTTAATACCGTTCGGATGTCATTTCAAAGCCTCCTGAAGACGAGAGTCATGATTGAGGCCATCAGAGCACAGATGGCTCAAACTACATGCAGATACTCAGACTTGCATTTTTGCATTATAGCTGCTCTTTTTTCCTCTGTTGAACTGTAATGAATTGTCTCATAATCTATTCCATCTTCTTGCCATTAGCGGGCTTTGAATGTTCACAAATAGGAGCAAAGAACTCATTTTCCAGAGCTTTAATCACACAAAGAGGGAATGCCTAATTCTCTAAATGAAATGGTCTGTGAGCACTGGAGCAGAGATTTAATATAGCACGGCAAATTAGGTAGATTTTAATAAATTACTTATCTCCCTGAATACTTTACATATGCTTAGGAAGGAACCTAGCCTGTTTGCAAACAGTGGAAACCCGCAAGCCTATAAAAATCCTTTGAAGAAAATGACAAATAAAAAAGTAAATTAAAAAATGAACTGCATTATAGCCGGGACCTCTAGAGACAATTCCTTTGCAGTGCTGATTCACAGCTCCATTAAAATATCAATTAAATCCTTCAGTGAGATGGGGGGAAAGCGAGAAAATTACCTTCCGAGGCGCTTCCGGAGGCCCGCCTCCTCACCTCCCCGCATTGTGCATGCCCGACAGAAGGAAGGCTGAGATGTGACTGAGCTACACTCGCAGGCTGGCTGAGCGTACCGTCTGGGGCCGTGCTTTCTAGTCATTACTCTCTGTGTCACCAGCTAAGTTTCCAAAGTGTGAATTGCATACATATCTGTCTCTCCCTCCTCTCTCTACACACACACACACACACACACAGGTTCCTGGATCGCATTACCGAAACCGCCATCGCAACAGTACAGATAGGAAGGACTGTCATTTTCAAGCAAGAAAAACAAAAACCTTGCAATAACTTGGTGAGTGGGTGCCAAGCCTCGCTTTGTGTTTAATTGATGGGAACGGCAGGCATCAAAGGAAGTGCACACTGAGCTTTAATGTGTGTGAAATGGGTATTAGCATTTTAAAGAGGAGGATTAACACATTAATCCAAGTAATTTTCATATATTGCTTCTAATAAAATCTTCACAGTATAAAACTCCTAATGAGGCCAATCATGGGCATTCCACTTAGTGGGACGATTAGGGATAACATGAAAGTACTTCTTTTTCAGAGGTTTTCTGAGATTTATGCTTTTTGCTTATTAAAAAAAAAAATGGGACTTGCATTTCAGTTCTTCATAAGAAAATATTGAGAATGCAAACAGTCTTTCTTATTCTATCATGTGGGTCTGGATTATTGAGGAGGTGCTGCCTCTTGGGGGGATCTGAAGTCCTGAGATGGCAGTCCTGGTAAGCGGGGATAGAAACATAAACAAATGGCCCGGCCGGCATGGCTCAGTGGTTGAGTGTTGACCTATGAACCAGGAGGTCATGGTTTGACTCCCGGTCAGGGCACCTGCTCAATCCTCAGCGTGAGGCGTGCAAGAGGCAGCCGATCCATGATTCTCTCTCAACATTGATGTTCCTCTCTCTCTCCTTCTCCCTCAATCTCTGAAATAAATAAATGTATTTGAAAATGAAACAAATGAAAAGAGTATACAAAACTTGAACCCTTCACCCCAGCCGCCCGTGAATGAGAGACGCCAGGCAGAGGGCAGGTGCAGCTCAGCTCCGAGCCGAGTGTGAGCGTCCAGGACGAGGCGGGGTGTCCGGGTGGCGTCCCTCAGGCCTCCCGCCCGGCGCCGTCCTGCCGGAGGACAGACCGCAGGGCCTGGAGCGCTTCCACCGTCACCCTGAGCTGGCCGATTCGGCCGCCCCCCGCTCGGGCGTCCCACACTGGGGAGAGAAGAGCAGACAGACGTTACTATGGCCCCGAGACGTCCGGCCGGCCGGCCGTCCGTCCGTCCATCCGTCCGTGCGGCTGGAATTGCGGTCGAAGGGATGGAGAGCCTCCGTGAGAGTCAAAGGCCCGCGGAGGCGGAGCACCCCGCTTACCGGCAATGTTCTGCTCCACGAGGTCCCGCCCTTCCCGCAGCAGGGCGGCCAGGTCGACGTGGGCGCGGCCAATGTCCTCACACTCCAGGTCCTGCTCCTCCTCGGGGGGGTCGCTGACCACCGTGAAGCGGACGCTGGAGGAGACAGACAGCCGCTGCCCAGGGAGAAAGGCCCGGAGACCGGCCTCCCGGAGGCTGTGCCCACGGCGGAGGGCATCTCCGAGGCGGCGGATGAAAGGGCTGTTCGGTGAAGTCAGACGAGCTGGTACGTGAACGCCCAGCTCCATCACGGCTCCCCGCCCGCACCCGGACAGCCCCCGCCCCCGCTCTGACGGACCGACCTTCGTCTCCAGGATCCGAAGGCCCTGAGCTCCCTGTGACACACAGTCTGACCTTTTAGTTTTACCATTTTTATCAAATTGTATTTTCCCCATCTCGTTATATCTCCACTATGTATCTGATCCTATTTTAATACATCTGGGTTTGTTTTTTAAAAAAATATATTTTATTGATTTTGTACAGAGAGGAAGGGAGAGAGAGAGAGAGTTAGAAACATCGATGAGAGAGAGTCATTGATCAGCTGCCTCCTGCACACCCCCTACTGGGGATGTGCCCGCAACCAAGGTACATGCCCTTGACCGGAATTGAACTCGGGACCCTTCAGTCCCCAAGCCGACGCTCTATCCATTGAGCCAAACCGGTCTCGGCTACATCTGGGTTTTTAAAAAAATTATTAAATTATTGGGGGACACTGATCAACACAAACACACAGGTTTTCAGGTGCAGGTTCCGTGTTATAAGATCTGTCCACTGCGCTGTGTGCCCGCCCCCCGGAGTCAGGTCTCCCCCGTCACCTCACCCCAGGCCTGGCACAGCTATCCCAGGGCCAACAGGATCGAGTGCAGACAGGCCTGGGAGGAGGGCGGCACTGCCAACAGGAACGCAGGGCTCTCTGTGGAAACGCACGCTTGGAGGCGCTGCTAGCACTGAGCCCACGTGTGTTCTGTAAGCGGGGCTCTGCTCCCCAAAGCCCGTGGGGTGAGGCTGGGCTCTGCCCGGCAGCCGGCGGACTGTGTGTGTCGCTGCAGCAGCTCCTAACTGTGGTCAGAGCGCCCCGTTTTGTTTCACCTTCAGACACATCGCTGTGGGGCTCTGATGGGACTGATTTGGATTACTGGCGTGTGTTGAGGCCAGACACACTCGGACGAGCCGAGGACAGGAATGTTCAGCGAAGGGCTCTTGGTGGGTCTTGGCATCGCGGCTGAAACCACGGTGCTGCTGGTAAACGACCACTTTAACCGCTTCAAGCCGTCCCCAGCCCAGATCCGAAGTGAAACGAGACACTTGTTTCTTCGTTAACGTTCTCAGATAAACATCTCAGCCTCTGAAAAGCTGGGTCTGGAAAAATAATCAAATCCTTGCCAAGATCAGGTAAACATGACAAGAGTTTAAACTAACTTGCTGAAAGTAAGTCCTCACCATTTCTCTCCGTCGCTGAGCCCACGCTCTGCTGGCATTAGGCTTTGGCTAGAAGAGAGCAATCCTTCATTGCAACAGACAGATCTTGTAACATGGAACCCGCACGGTAACCGAGGGGCGCAGAGCCTGGGGCGCTGCAGGTGGAAGAGGAGTATTCTGTCTGACACACAAAATCCCGGGATCGGATGGCGTGGTTAAGGGCACCCTTTCTGGGTTCAGATTTCTGCCTTCCTGCTTATTAGCTGTGCGACCTTGGACAAGTCCTTAGCCTCTGACTCGGCTTCCTTAGCTGTACAATGGGGACACCTGGAAGCCCGTCTCCCAGGGCTCTGGTGAGGGTCAGAGGACATGGCACTTGTCAGCAGAGCCGGGACCCACAGCTTGCCACGTCAATCCAGCGGATCTGCCTGGCTTCCTCTTGTCCCCGGGAGAGAGAGAGGCTTGCGGAAGGCTGATTTCAACGGAAAATGGAGACTCCCCGATTCTGCAGTGACTGTACCACTCGCTCCATCTGAGGGGGAATGATGATGGAAAGAAACTGTCCTGCCCTTGCTGGTTTGGCTCAGTGGATAGAGCGTCGGCCTGTGGACTGATTCCATTCCGGTCAAGGGCACTTGCCCGGGTTGAGGGCTCGATTCCCAGTGGGGGCCATGCAGGAGGCAGCTGATCAATGATTCTCTCTCATCACTGATGTTTCTATCTCTCTCTCTCTCTCTCTGTCTCTGAAATCAATAAAAAAGGAAAAGAAATTGTCTTGCAATAAATACGCTTGGAAGAGTAGAGATTGAAAGCGATACCTGATGCACATTTACTCCCAAAGACGTCCAGAACAGAGGCCACACAGACCGAGCAGTAAGGGTGAGAGCTATCTTTAGAGCATCTCAGACCGAAGGGTCGACTCCATCCCGGCACAGATGCAGACGACCCCGGCCCCTGAGCACGGGGGCCTTAGAAACAAAGCAAACTTCTCAATGGCAGGCAAAGGGCTAGAGGCAATACACGGCAGCATTTCTGGCTTTTCATTGTACACAGAGTGAAATGAGATGTCAAATACACAGTGAAACTATAAAGTCAAATAAAAAAGGGAGGAGGGGCCCTGGTCAGTGCAGATCAATGATGACAGTGTCGGCCCACGCCCCAAAGAGTCTTGGGTTTGATTCCCGGTCAAGGGGAAGTACCTGGGTAGCAGGTTCGATCCCAGGCCCTAGGCAGGATGCTTGCCGGAGGCAACCAATCCAAGAGTCTCTCTCACAGTGATGTTTCTCTCTCTCTCTCTCCTTCCCCCACCCTCTCTCTCTAATAATTAATGGAAAAAATATTCTGGGGTAAGGATTAATCAAAAACAACAAAAAAAAAGTGTATAATTTCTCTACTGAACCAGAATTGAAAAATGTCCTGTTCAAATTTGCCCCATGCATTAAAAAACCGGGAAACAATGAATTGTTAGCTGTGATAGTAAGATAAGAATTAGTCGAAAAGGCTGATGAACTGTTAAAACAATAAAATTGCTATCACTACTGATTGCACCAACAGTTACTGCGTGCTGAACTACCTGTCAGGCACTAGTCTCTTCCCTGTGCGTACACTGTATCCAGTTCATAGCTGAAGGAATGAGGCGCAGGGTGGGTACGTCACTTGCCCAAGGTCACACAGCTGGTCAGTGACGGAACCAGAAGTTATACTCAGGCCGCGGGCTGCAGAGGCACCTGACGGGACACCGCAGCGGCATGGGTGCCGCACCCGCACTGCACAGGCCTGTCCTCAGAGCGCCACCGGCAGGGAGACGTGCTCTCTGCCCTCACCCCAGCCTGCCGCACCCACTGTGCTCCGGAGAGTCCCCCTCCCCCACCAGCCCCTCAGCACGCGTCCTGTACCTCCTGTTAGGCATCTCTGGTTCACGCAGGATGGCTTTTAAGATGTCTCTTTTCGCTTGGTTGTTTTCTCTATCCACGTAGATCACTACAAAAACACACAAAAAACAACCAAAAACAAACGTCCACACAGGACGTCACTGGGAAACTCGCCACATCAGCTGCACCCTGTGCCGTGTGGACGCCGGCGCCCCCCATGCGCCTGGAAACGCAGCAGCTCTGGCAGCCAGTCCCGCCTGAGCCACCTCCCGCAGGCCCTGTGTGCGCTGTCAGTTCCCGGTCAGGGCACAGGCCCGGGCTGCGGGCTCCATGCCCAGTGGGGGGCATGCAGGAGGCAGCCAATCCATGATTCTCTCTCATCATTGATCTTTCTCTCTCCCTCGCCCTTCCTCTCCTAAATCAATGAAAAAAATATTTGAAAAGGTCTGTGCCCTAACTTGGAATCAAACCCGCAACCTTTTGGTGTAGGGCAGTGGTCGGCAAAATCACAGTCCACAGAGCCAAATGCCAACAGTACAACTGAAATTTCTTTTGAGAGCCAAATTTCTTAAACTTCTTCTAATGCCACTTCTTCAAAATAGACTCGCCCAGGCCGTGGAATTTTGTGGAAGAGCCACACTCAAGGGGCCAGAGAGCCGCGGTCTGCTGACCACTGGTGTAGGGGACGAGGCTCCAACCAATCGAGCCGCCCGGCCAGGGCGACAGAGGGGACTTGCATGAACTCCTTCTGACAGGCCCTCTGGGGTTCTGGTGGAGAGTGGCCGCGCCTACCGTGGCTGTGGTTGTAGTGGACCCAGTGGCCTCGCCTGGGCTTGGGGAGGGACGCGGGCGTCTCCTCGGCAGGCAGGCTGCCGAGCCGGAACTCCACGAAGAGCCGCTGCACGGTGTCGTCCGCAGTCACTCGGGAGTCGCTGAGGCTCAGAGCGATGATCTCGATCCGGATCCTTTCCGATGTCTGTTTAAGGAGGGAGAGAGAGAGAGACAAAGAAATAAAACACACGCGTCAAAAACCCTCTCCTCTCCTCTACTACCGATTTTAAATAAACCATGAAGGCATTTAGTTACACACGATGGATTATTCACACAGAGGGACGCAGTGGATTCTGGTACCCCGGGTTGGACGGGCACCGTGTCCTGGCAGCAGCCCCTGATTCACATCTGTCACATCTGCGGCTGTAAATACCCCACCAGGCATCTATTGAGGGTGGGTGGGGCAATGGTGAGATCTTCATCTCTGATTGCTTTCCGAATGACAAGCATCACTGGCTTAGTTTCAAACTCCGTAAGGAAGTGAATGTTTATCACTGCTTAGCTAACCTGCAGGAGCTGGGCAAGTTTCGGCTGTTCCGAGATCAAAGCCTGTTGAATACTTTATAGCTATTATGCTAATAGGTGCAGCTCAGTGAGTCCAGATTAATGAGAATGGAGCCCGCCGCTCATTCTTACAGATTCCACCGTAACCTATTTCACTCAATAGGTAGCTTTCAAACAAAGGGACGTTTTTTATGCAGCTTAACACATTTTCTCACAATATGTTGTATACCATTTTTGCAGAATTGACAAGTAAAATATGTGTTTGTTTGCTAGTGTAATTTGCACAACGGTTCTTATTGAATAGATTTGGGTGCCACAGCCTTTATTACGGGAGTCACATGACTTTCCCCGAGTAATGATCGAGGACAAATAATAGACTAGGACTTAAAAATGAGATCACGCCAAGATAATGCCTCAGTCAAATGTCTGTTGGTACAGTGTTACATTTGTTCCAGATTTCCCCTGACTGAATTCAAAGACAGGCTACTGTAAATGATGGCACTTCAGATTGCAACAAGAAACTCCTGGAGATAAGACCTGTGTATGGGACTGATGTTTAGAAGTTCATTGTTCAATATGTCAGTGGGTACATTTACCATCGCGACGACGTAGATATTTCAAGGCACAGGATATAATTAATCAAACTGAAACGCTAGTGCAAAAATACCCCCATAAAGAACGATTCCCACTGCCGCCCAACCCCCCTCGATATTTGATGAAGTAATTTTACCCCCTTCTTTCAAAGAACATTTTCTTTTATTATGTATTCCGAGGCACTTTAACTAAAAACCCCAATCTGAATATTTCACTGAGGTTGTTTTATTATTCAGGAGCTTCATGGAAATGGAGCCGGGATGAAGGAGGGAGTGCCACCCCGTTCTGTCCCCGCTGATGCGGGGACCAGGCTGCAGCTGGCAATATCGCCGGGATTAGCGCGGGGTGATGAAATATTTAAAGGGAAATTTTTTTCTAAAACCTAATAAATCAAATGACTGCCCAGTGTCATTAGAGAGATGGTCTTTGACTTGAATATGCTTTTCATATTCAAATTTGGAGAGAGGGAGGTGAATGCCGGGGAAGGCTGCTCCGTTCCCACTAATAAGCGAGCCGCCCCGTTCGGGGGCATGAGAAATGAAGGTGGCTCCATTGCCTCCCTCACCCCGGGGCAGCCTGCTCTGCCTGCCGGAGACGAACATGGCAAAGGACCCGTTTTAAACGATGTTATTTTCTCCTTAAAATGCATTGGGCGGTCCAAACACCGCACGCGAACACATTTTACAAGTCTGGTGAAGCCTTTTACGTCACTTGCAACGGGACCAACTTAGCCTTGTTATAATAACATGTCTTACAAAAGCCTCCTGCCTCTGCACAAAAGAATGAAAAACAAAACCCAGCCATAACAAAAGCGAAGGAGGTGCACGTGGTCATTTCTACGCGGGGAAGACAGGAATCTGAAACTGTTCATCACAGAACCCCACGGAGAGGCAAATGAACTTTAAAAGGCTGAGGAGTCGTGTTTACGTAAGTGCTTATTTTGTTAGTAACGTGTCAACTGTGCAATCTCCCTATGAAAACTTGCAGTTTTATAAGAGTGAGTTAAGGTGAAACACAAAACTAATTCCAAGTGAGAGTTGACACTTGGATCACAAACAAACACAACGAAGCAAGAAAACCACATATTATCCAAAGGGACAGAAGAGCTTACAGGTTCTTTATATGATGCCAATCCTCTTTCGGGTCCTGTTTTTGCTGTTGTTGCGCCCCCCCTCCTCGCCAGCCCTGTCACTTCAATGGTATGTCCTCTCTAACTCTCTAATGCTACTGACAGGACTAATTAGTTGCCATCTCTTTGTTCCTTTGATGCTACACAAGTCATCTTAAAATAAGTCCAAAATGGATAAATTCCAAATCCTACTTAATAAAGACGGAATATGCAAATTGACCATCACTTTGCGACAAAGATGGCGGCGCCCGAAGCCAATAAGAAGGGAATATGCAAATTGACGTGACAAAGATGGTGGTGGCCAGGCTGGGACACTTGTGATGATGCAGGCGTTCTGCCCAGCCCGGGCTGCTCCGGGCCTCTGAGTAGCACATAAAGGCAGAAGGCAGTGGCCAGAAAGAAGGCCCAGGTCCCAGAAGCCAGGGGAAGGAAGGCCTATTCTTGCATGAAGCTTCATGCATCGGGCCTCTAGTAGTATACATCGAGGGAAGCATGTTCTGAGTGAAGAATTTTTCAAATATAATTTTGGCCAACAGGTCTAGCCAACTTATTTTTCAACATTGGAACAATTCTGATCATATCCTGCTGCTGTGAACCAAAAGTGCAAATGGATTATAGATGAGGATTTTGAAGAGCCAGCAGCATAAGAGACAACTCCAACTTACGAGTCAGAAATGAGCTCTCTCTCCTCACCTCTCCGTCTCATTCACCCTCTCTTTCCTGTCTCAGGTGAGCTCACCATCCACCTGGTAACTGCAACCAGAGCATTTCTAGATCCTAGCCGAATAAAAGTATCTCAAAGGCAGGTCAATATGGTAAAATCTAGGTGGTAGGGTACTATTATTTCAACTTTTCTGTATGTTTGAATGTTTTCATAATAAAAAGAAAAAAAAAAAAAAGAAAAAGCAATGCAGTAGCAGAAATGGAAGGGAAACAATATCCGGACTCCAATGGCAGTGATGAGCAGAGCCTTCTCAGACACACAGTAACACCGGGTCAGAGCTCCAGGGGGCGCCCGTACCTTCCCATACTGAGGGTGGGGCTCCAGGCTTTCCCGTTTGGTGCCTTTCCTGTGTGCGTGATGCCTGCCATCAGGTAACGAGGCCCCCTCAGTCTCTGTGCTGCTCCCCAGCCGTTGCCCTCGTTGGCAGGCTGTCAACATGAGCAGGTGAGGACAGCGTTCCGGAATTCGGGGCGTGCTGAGCAGCAGCCACCGAGGTCGCTCGAAAAAGCACTGCATGGGACGTGCTCGGCGCTGTCTGTGTAGATGGACTCCACGCCACGTGACTGTAGATGGAGAAACGTGACGACAGCTGGTACTGCTCGCAGGGAAGAGTCGTGGTTCTCACGATGCTGGCCCGGGGCCCCTCCGCTTCCTGCCGCATGCTCTTCACATCTTGGGCGCGTTTTCCCGTGGGGTTCGCGTGGGCGTCCGGAGGCGTGCTGACTTTTTATGCTGCTCTTGAGGGATCGTGCTGAGGGCTTCCTGTCGGGTCACCAGCACCGCAGCCACGGAGGCTGGGCGGACAGAGGGCTCGCAGTCTGTCCGTCGGTCAGATTTATTCGCTGTGGTGAGCCTGCACGGGGGGTTTATTTCATCCTCAGTCTCCGTGATGAATGAGTGTTTCTCTAACTGTTTACATTAGGAATGTAGAAGTGATGTAGCACATTCAAGTACTCGGCATCTTAAACAGATGTTACCCTTTGCGCGGCTGATTAAAACCTTTTTGTTGCTGTTGTTGGAGGATAAATATTTCCGATACAGGCCAAGTCCTCACCTCCCGATTCCTTTCCCCTCCCTTCCCCCTGCACCCACAGCTAACCCCTAGTCCGACACTGGTGTGTATCATTCTCCAGCATGCTTTTATGTCTCCCACTGCATATGTGTACAGGGCTAGGCAACATATAGTACCGCTTTGTTTCCAGATTTTATGTGAGTGGTACCATCCTCTCCGCATCATTCTGCAATTTTGTTTTCCCCCTCAATACCATATTTTTGAGATTTATGCATGTTTATAATTAAAACCTAACTCATAACTTTTATACAGTGTTCTATTTATATTGCATATATAGTCTACAGCCCATTTATTTCTCTACTGAGCAGCGGTTAAGACAGCATTTTTTGCTATTACAAACAAGGAAGCATTGAAGGTCCCTGTATGTTTTCTTGTGTGAGTGAGTGATGTTCTAGAAGAACTGCTAGGTGACAGGTATAAGGATCAGTTTTATAGGATTAGCAAATCGCTTCCCGAATGGTTGCGTGAATTTACACGCTACTACTTTTATCACCTTACCATGTTTTATGTATGTGTGCACACCAATAAGTACCACACAGCCTACCTACAGGAGCTGCAGGAGGACTGGGCACTCGATATCAGAGCCACAGAGACAATTAAGTGATTGCAACTTAGTCCCACTGAATGCGGCAGCTTTTATAAAACTGCTCTAGTAGAGCAATCTGTAAACACCACCCAGAAGAGCCCGCTGGCTTCAGCTGAGATTGCCCAGGCAATTGCCTGTCCTCGCCCGTGGGCACCCTGGAGGAGCCTGAGCCGATGGCAGCACACTGAGCTGGGAGGATGGGAAGCTGCCTGGCTTACATGTGAAACCGGAAGTCATGTGGAAGAAGGGGCGTTAATTTCTTTTCAAATGCCATGACAGATGCAAAGCTTCAGTTCTGATATCTCCTGTACTAGGATTGTGAGGATCTAAAGCAAGGCTTTTAATCAATGTATTATACATCAAATTGATCCTGTTAACTTCTGGTTATTCAAATGAATAAAATATTGATGGAGAAACGTCCAAAGTTTCACATTGCTCAGACATCCTGCCAACCCCAATTAATGATGGTGCCTCCCAGCCTTTCAGCAGCGGTGGCGGCCGTGAGGCTGACGGGACCTGACAGGCCGGCACGGCCCAATTACACTGGTATCCGTGCCACTTTGATGTCCTGGCAATGACGAGAGATGGGGGCAAACTGGGTGGTACATTATGCTAATGATGTGATTTAATCCAGCACTAAACTTTATGCAGCCTGTTAAGAAAGATGCTCACATTAATTACGCCACGTTGGACAGGAAAGGAGGGGACAGGCATTTCATTCTGACAAAGTGAAGCTCATAAATGTTGTAAATGAAATGAAACAAAATGAAGTAATCTATGATTAATTATACATCACAGACATGAAGAAAGGGGAAGTAATGGGTCTAAGTCCTGGAAAATCTGTTAGATTCCTTGTAAGGATCAACATTTCTAAGAAATAACTCTGAGCTGTCAGATTCTGTAACAGGAAAAAAACAAACACCCCGAACGATCTTAAATTGCTTACACAGCGTAGTAGATAAGTCACGTTCATAGCTTAATTGGCATGATGCTGTTTATCTAGAACGCTACCTCTAGTCTCAATGTTGTGATATTATCAGGGTACAGGCAATTAAAAAAAATCTATAAAGTGGGGAAAACCACAGAGCAGGGCTATCTACTGACTCCTAACTAGTCTTGTACCTCCAGTCTAGTCTTTACATTACTGATAGCAGGATCTTCTAAATGCAATTCAAGAGTGGAAACTTCCCAGGAGCAAAACACTGACTTCTCTTATTCCCCGCGTTGTTCCTGTCTGGAGAGTAAGGCTTGGGAGAGAGTGTTCATTAAATAGCATTCCGTCGACGAGGGATTGAGCAGCCTCACTGGCTGCTCCTGGAATCCCAGAGCAGGCCCTGGCTGGAGAGAGGCCTCCTGGTCTGCTCTGGCCTGCCGTCAGTGCACTCCTCCGGAGCCCACACTGAGTTCCCAGGAGCCGGCTCCGCACCCTCTCAAGTCTCCTGCTTCTGTCCCTTTGGCCTCTAATGACCCTCCTCGGCTTTCACCAGCTGCCAATCACTGCCCACACGTGGGCCAAGCTTCCCAGCCTAGGAAGTCACCTGATGAGGGTCCCCGTGCTGGGAGAGGCGCCCCTGAGTGGTCCCTCAGCACCTGCATCCACGCTTAATGCTACCACCATGCACTTGCCACTGTGCTTCCCCTACAGACTGTGAGTTCTTTGAGGCCAGAGATGGGCTTCCTTTACGGCACAGTAGATGCTATGAGTGAAGAATCGCGAGAACTAAAGGACATACTACATAGGATGTCTTAGCCCCTGGAAGCCATTCAGGGACACCTTCCTTCCCAGGAAAGAGCCACCGGGTCCTTCCTGACGCAGTTCTTAAAGAGGAGACTAAGAAGCGGGTGAGCCTCCAATACCGCTGAGCTTGAGAAGGTGTTATGACACAGTACCTCCACCAAAGCTGACACCTCAAGAATCAGCCCACACCCCGCTGTGCCTGCGGACACGCAACCCTGAAAGGGCCCAGCATGGCTTCTGACACGTTCCTGCCACAGCACAACCTGAACGCTGCCGCCCATATCCGCACTGCAGGATGCTCTCCAGCGTGAATGGCTGTGCCCGTAACCACGTCACATCGTTTTAAAAGCCAGCTCACATTCTAAATCCTTTCAAGTTCAGGTTTGATTGAATGCATCCTTGTACAATGGTTCTAAAAGGAAGTCAGGGTTAAGTCAACTGTTTTTGCAAAGTACCTTTTGAAGCTACTGGATATTAGATGCTCTTAACATGGAAGCAAAAATAATGCTTGGATGCTACAGCCCCTTATAACGAAACTGTAAGTGAAGTTTTCTTAATACGAGATGAGCACTTGAATATGATTATGATGATGCAGTGTTTTTGCCTTAAGGTGTTCACACGGATAGACGGAAGTGCTAGGAAGGAGGAGAACTTCATTTCGGCACATTTCTAATTGGCATCCGTTACTGACCTGCGGCATATTCTTGGAGACAGGTTCTGGAATGATACACTCATCACTGTCACACTCATCACTGTCTTCCTCCTCTGTTACAAAATAAAATTTCAGCAGTTTAAATCTGTTAAACCAGCGACATTTATACCTTTAATGGAGAGAAGTGAGCATGCATTGTAAGGACAAACTTAAAGGAATAATATGATAATCATATCTGAACCTCTTTATCAGCAAAGATATTTACACTTACATTACATTTTAGAAAAAGAAAAAAATGATTGAAAATTCCACGTTAAGTTTTAGTAGAAACAAAGGAAATAAAAACATATGCTTATTCTAATATGCACTTAAAAATAATTTTAAAAAGAGGACAGGGTAATAGATATTTTTCTACCAATAATATTGTGTAAGAATCAAGTTATTCATACTAATGAAAAACATTTAAAAATGTTCTACAGCTTTATTATGGTAAAGTTGACATCCAATAAACCGCACCCATTTAAAGTGCAAAATGGGGAATTTTTACATACATAATCCCATGAAAACATCACCACAATGAAGGTTACACACATACCCTCCCACCTTTTTGCAATCTCTTCCCTTCCTCATCACCTCACTGGCTCTTCCCCAGGCAACGGCTTGAACACTTTCTATCGCTGTAGATTAATATGCATTTTCTACATATGTATATAAGTTAAGTCACATTGTCAGCTGTCTTTTTTTTTTTTTTTCTGAGTTCTTTTAATTTTTAAAAAGTCAAGCCCTCCAGAATGATCCAGAGGACAGCCCTGAACCAAAGAGAATATGCAAGTTGGGGGCATGGCCAGCAATGACACTTGCATTCTGCCAGAGTCCCCAAGTGCAATTGAGAGCGAAGCCATGACGCCTGGCATGGACTGAACCACAGCCGTCGCTCCTGTGGGAAACGGGTGTCGTGTAGTAGCTCACTGTGCAGTGAAGAAGTCTACGAGGGCACCCTATTAAGTCAAGCTAAGCGTGAAACAAACACTGTGAATTCAAAAACAACAGTCACCTTCCGGCTCCAGGTCCTCGGTGATTTCTGTGTCGTCTTCGGAAGAAGTTGTACTCGGCTGTGCGAGCTGGCCCTGGGACAGCAGGGACTCGTCCCCGCCGTTCCCCGGCTGCGGGTCCCCCGGGTGCTCTCTCCCCTGAAGGATGCTTTCCCCAGGCGCCTGGATAAAGAGCATGCCGGTATTTTTTATCATTGATTAGACCTTAATTGCAGCATTTTTGCTGAAGCACTTGGATAACTTGAGCTTAAATATATATAGCATGTCTATATACATATATGATTCATTTATGCTATATATATATGATTCATTTGAAAATAACTGATTAAGTTGTTCAAATAAAAATACACAGATAAATGAAAACCTAATTATAAACCAAGAATGAAAAATACATCAATTTCAAAATAAGTTTTACATTAATTCACATGTCTATTTCCCATTATGGTAAGAGTTTAATTGTAGCCATTACACTTATCATATTTTTTTATCTTTGTTTTCCAAGCAAGAATATATAAGATCAATGCTATAATTTCCTGATCCATGTCACTACAAAGACAATCTTTAAGAACTAAATTAAGCCTTTTGAAATTAAATAATCTTAATACAAATACATGCCTCAAAAACCTGTGAAGCTGGTGGCATACTAACATCTGTTTCCGGTGCAATCTCCCTTTCTGGTGAGAGGTCCTTCCGGTCTTCGGAAGGAGGGGACGTCTCCATCTCCTACGTTCATGTGAAAACATGACTGCATGTTATTTTGGATTATTACTAAGTCCCAAATCATCCTAAAACTTTTACATACAAATGCATGTGTTACATATATAAGAATACTAATACAATGAAGAGCACATATAGTAGCTCCCCATTAGGGCAATGAAATAGTGCATTTCAGTAACATGATTGATATTCTTCATGGTGTGTGTGTGTGTGTGTGTGTGTGTGTGTATAGTTTAAGAACTGGCCCGGCTGGGCTGCATCACCATTTTTTTAAAAGAAAAAGCAAACTCAGTAACAACATAATATTACAGTGAGTGGATGTATCATAATTCAGATCAAAGAGTAAGATCAGTTAATACACAAAATGCCAAGTTACAAACCTAACATTTTAAAAGAAAAAAGAAAAGTTTTTCCCCTTTAAATCAGGTAGGTATACTACATCTCTATCATTTATTTCCAACGTGCAGTGCTTACTACTTACAGAATTCTGACGTGGTGTGATATCGGTCATGAAAGACACCTTCTTCTCCACTGCTGTGAAACGCTGTCTCGGTTTGGGGGTTGGTGCCTAAGATTAAACAGTGTGGCAAACTGAGTATAAGCAACATCAGCTATTTCTTCTGCTTCTGTGTCTGTTCAGTTTTATAAGACACTGAAGTCACTGTTACTCACTACAGACGACGTCCTCACAGAGGCTGTTGGAGGTAGTCTTGGAACAACTTCGGACTCTTCTTTGTGTATGAAATTTCCTAGGTCTTCGGAGGTTATGCATTCACTTGGTGGGAGGTAGGCAAATTTCCATTTCAATATGACATGAATGGTTCCTGCAGGATGCTTTTTATGATCTGTTAACTCAAATATTCCTGTCAAATCATAAAATAAATAATTTTAATTAATGCTAAAGTAAAGTTTTAGTACCAGAATAATTAAAGGGAATTACCCACAACTTAAAAAATAATTTTGGCTTTTACTCACAACCCGAATAACTTAGATAATACAATGAAGACAAAAGGACATATGGTAGGTTCACTTCTCGAGCAAACTGCATTCAGAAGGTAAGGCCTCAAAGATAATTCTGATTCAAAGTTGAGAAAATTAACTTATAAATATTTTAATCCACTGAAATGAAATTCGGGAATTACTCAAAATTCTTAGCATTCCTCCAAGACATTATCTGGATTATAGCTCAAGTATCAACCTTCATTTTGATTTGAATATTCCTGCAAAAGACTTGTCTCTAAAGAAAAATATATTAAAACTTTAAAGTTCCAAATAATTGATATATCTAAAGAAATCTTTATATTACTATGTAATATAAAAGTTTTATTATACTTTTAAACATTTTATTGGGATTTGTTAAATTACTCCAAGTAATAGTACCACAGCGAAAAAATGTCTATAAGATAATCCATTCAAAACATATAGCCGTAATTACCTCCATCTGTTATATTGTCACAAATTTTAATCATTATACTAAATTTTAAACAGATATAGGCATTCTATATACATAAGTATGACAACCAGCATACAGAAGGGGGGAAGGAATAAAATTATTTTGGAGAAGACCTATATTTTAATGGAATTGTTAGCATTAATTTTTAGTAGATTGTGATAAGCTAAAATAAATATTGTAATTCTTGGAACAACTAATAAAAAAAAATAATTCAAACAATATAGTATTCCTAGAAGCCTGATGCACGAAGATTCGTGCTAGAATGGGCTTTCCTTTCCCTGGCTGCCGGCACCTTTCCACTCAGGCCCTGGAGCCGCCTCTTTCCACTCCAGCCCCACCTTCCCACACTGCCCAGAGGCCCCGAGGACCTGGGTGGGGCAGAAAGCCTGCATAATCACCATGGCAGCAATGCAAGCATCCCACTCCATCACTTGGCACTTATGTATGCAAATCAACTGCCATCTTTGTTGGGTTAATTTGCATAACACCCCTGATTGGCTGGTGGCATAGCAGAAGTACAGTCAATTTACATGTTTGTCTATTATTAGGTAAGAGAGGCCCAACGATGATCTGAGCTGGTTAGGAAGATTAATTAAACAAGAACAACATATTCAAAATACTGAAGAATAATTTAGGTTTGTTTTTACAATTTCACAGATTAAGAAATAGGCTTACCTGAGATGCACCTGTCATGTGCCAATGAAATCAGGGGCACACTGACTTTTCCTATGTACATATCCTCCTGGGTATCACTATCATCAAACACATAAAAACCCAGAGACTCTGACTTAAGGTATCGATCCAAGTCCACATTCATCGGCACTGGGAAACACATATGATCATCAAACTGTGGATCATTGCTACTGGGAATGATGGCCGTGTCATGGTCTGCAAAATCAAAAAACTTGTACACGACGTATGGGTGCGGCTGGAGGTGGCTTGCTCGGGCCTGCAGCTGGTTGCAACATTTCACTGTGATGTGAAGTTCATTTAAGTTGCCATCAGCACCATCTGTAGAACCGAGCTGAGCAGTTTTGGGTGCTGGCTGACTTAGCTGGAAAACATACATATTACATTATAGTAATATACAATAAATTGATAAACAGAAGCTGCCAATTCCCAAACCAAATGATTTTGTAAGTGGACAAAAGCCTGACTATTTTCACTTCGTATTGAATTTCTCAGTAAGATTCCCGATTCTTATTCAAAACCAATATTCATTGGAATATGTGTGAGCAGATGATCCTATGCTATAAGCAATAAACATAGAAGACTGAACATACATGTAGAGTTAATCTGATGTTCTCTATTAATTCTATTTAATAGCCGAGTCAAATGAGCAGGTGGGTCCAAAAGCCAATGTTCTCTATTTTGCCATTTTATTAAGAGTGAGTCCTTCCATCATGCCAGCCATTTGTTTATATCCCAGTCTTAGGTGAGAATCCAATGAACTTGACGGGCCCCACCAAGAAAAATAATTTTGTTGTGTTTGGGTTGGCCCTCATCCTGAACCATGGGAGTTTGGGAAGCAGGTAGCTGAGGTCAAGATTAGCCAGTATAGCAATGTATACCAGTAACGGCTATTAAGAATTGGAGAACAGGATCAGAGAACTGCTCTGGAGAGAATGAAAAGGTAGGACTGGGCAGCCATTCCAGGAGACAGATGAGCAAAAGGCCTTACCAGGCAGAGCTGGAAACTGCTCTCTGGCCCCTTTGGCTGACCTGGGGTTAGGTGGATATTCCTAAACCATTAGTTATAATTGGATGGGGAGTAGGAGAGAAGTGGATCACCAAACATAAGGCTTGACATTGGGGGTCCAGCCCACGGACTGGGAGTGAGGGCAATCCCCAATGAAGAAAGATAGTTACGACCTGAGCAGACATGCTATAGCGTTTCTACGATATTCTATCCCTTTGTAACTTCACGTAACTGCATACTTTATGCTCACTCTTGAGAATCACCTTACACATGAGAAGTCCTAAAGTCAAACATTCTGTTTAACTTTGCTCAATTCAGTGCTTTCTGCCTTCACTGGATCGTGACACTCTTTCCTTTAGAAATATGGCCAGTAAGACTCCATGAAACCCAGTTTGAACCCAAGGGAATGCGTTTAACGGTCCAAGTCTCAGTGAGCATACTCATTTTGTAGTCCAATAACAGCCATGGATTTCCCTCACAGTAGGGAGTGTGAGGACAGTCACTCAATGTGTGATGACCAGCAGGCAGTTCTACTTCTCCAGAGCCCTGGGCTCCCGTGAGGCGATGGGAGGGTTGTTTTGCTTGTGGTGGTAGCTACATGAACATATACACGATAATCTGCACAGAACTCCTCCCCCCCACACATGTGAAATCTGAATGAGGTCTGTAGCCCAGTTAATAGAGTTGTACAATGCCCACTTCCTGGTTTTGATCTGGTCCCGCAGCTATGCAGGATCTTACAACCGGGACCAGCTGTGTGAAGGGTTCAGAGGCCTTCTCTGTACTATTTTTGCTGCTTCCTGCAAGTCTATGATTACTTCGGAATAAAAAGTTAGAAAAAGCCACTTGATGGCTGTGAAAGAAAATAATTTCGGTTTAAAGCATGACATAGAAAGAATACGATACAATTTCTGGGTCATAAAAGTGTCCTAAAATCCAACAAGCTTACCCACTGCCTTTGCGCGGGCCCTTTAAAGTTTGATGTCATATACCCCAAAGCCTTCGCCCGCTCCCGGTAAAGGCGGATCGCTTGGTCCACGGGCACTTTTAATTGGAACCAGTATTCCACTGTGCCGAAGTTTGGGACGTCTTCCTCAGTTCCTGCCGATCAATACAGAAACTCGCTGTAAAACAGCCCCATAAATCACAATATATACCAGTAAAAAACACGTCAGTGGTACCATACAGCGAAACTATAAATTTTATACCGAGTAAAAAAAATACGTGACACGCACAAATGATGTGTGATTGGCAAATAGCAGAGATGAAGAAAATAAAGTTACTTCTGCGAGTATGAGTTTCACTGTAGGTTACAGATTATTAAAGAACTGTCAAACTGTGTTTGAGATCTTCCAATTTACATTAGTCCACTCCTTGTGAAATGTAAAAAAATCTGAACCCAACACCCCACAGCCTTTTTGATGCCGAGTACTTTTGGAACAAGTTGTGATCTATGCAGACTGACAGATATAATATGAAACCTCAGAATTATAGATATGAACCCCACGTTATAACGCGGCCTGAAGGAATCTTTGGCACCTCCTGACCCGGCCTAGTCACCAGTACAGGGGGAAAGCCATGCTGTGGTGAGCACGCACGCACCGTGTGTGCCATGCTCTTGTATGGCTCTGCCGGGCACATCCCAGCGCTGGCTCCGCTCCTCGGCTCTCTTCCCTGGGAAAGGTCGCCCCTAGGGCTCCTGGGAGGAGGAGAACACGTCTCATCAGGGCACCGCACGCTGCGGCAGAGCAGTCTGTTGGCCAGTCTGTCCCTCCACCACAGTTTCCTGAGGGCCAGGGCTGGGTTTCCATGGATATATTCCTACTGGAGGGACTGGTGCAAAATGGGTGCTCAACAAACGGTGGAGTAGGTAACACTGTGCTTACCGACCAAGCTTGCTGTGCCAAATATCCGGCCGCTTTTTTCTAGAATCTCATGGAACCGCAGCTGACAGGCTGCGATGGTTTGGTAGTCCGTGCTGTAGGCCCGGTGGACCTCCAGGGTGACGGTGCTCCTGTGGAGGTAGTGCAGGAACAGGTCGCTGACGTGGACGCGGTACTGGGAGGTGAAGTTGTACTCGGGGTGCAGGCCCCGCACGAGGGGCGTGGTCTGCAGCTCGAAGTCGTAGAAGGCGAAGGTGCAGAAGGTGAGCGGCTCCTGGTCCCCGGACGCCCGCGACGCTTCCGCAGAGAAGGCGGCCCTGTGGATGTGGATCTCAAACAGGTTCTCGCCCCGCTCCAAGCGAATGGCGTCATCAAACTCATCCGCGGAGTCATCTGGCAGGGCTTCCGGCTTAAGCTTGTACTGCTTGGTGCCATAGGCGATGTCCTTCAGCTGGGCTGCCGGGGAAGACACGAGTTTAGAGATGTCACACGCTGACACGGGAAGACACAGAGTGGCTTCTGGAGTGGCAGGAAGGCTGGGTGCTCTGGGGGACTAGCCTCCATCTTAAGATCTAGGCCTACACTGTTTCCCTGTAAATTATATTATAGTAATTATATTATATTATATTATATTATATTATATTATATTATATTATATTATATTATATTATAACTCAGCACTTGCTTTGACCTCGTTTATTAAGCAACAACATTCCAGCTAAGCTGTGCCACAGGCTGTCCCCCGGCAAGGCCCCTGAGCCAATAGCCGAGGGAGATACTTGGGGTGCGCCTGCTCCCCGGCCTGTGCTCTGCTACCTTCTCTCCTAGGGAGCCAACTTCTCTTCCCACAGCGCCTACTCTGAGGTCTGTTAACATACAGGTGGGGCAAAGGTGGTTTGTATAATAGTTGTGAGGACTTGTAACAGTTTATCCTTGTGTTATTATTTATTGCATCATTGTTCCATATGAACAAATATACCCACTCTTCAGGATGGCAACCAGGCCCTCACCATTCCTGACCCGGGTCCCCTTCGGAGGCTCCACACACAGTTTCCCGAGTGCCCAGCAGTGCTTCCCACACCCCTTCCACCTCCTCATCCCCGCCTGAGCCTCCCAAGCTTTTTCTGAGCGGGGAGCTGTCAGCAAACACTCCCAATGAGGGCGGAGTCCCCCCTGGATCTGCCGGGCTCCCGGCGGTCTCTCCTCAGTGGTTCCTGTACCTTCTGCCCTCCCTCAGCGCCACACTCTTCTCAGAACCGTCTGCTCACTGTCCACATCCTGTGAGCTCCTGCGGGGCCGCCGGAGCCGTTTCCCTATCTGCACTCACTGCCCAGCCCTTTGCGAGGCTGCACTCAGCCTGCCCATGTGTATGGACTGCCTCAATGCATTCAGGGCTCACAGAAATACACCGGGGAAGGGTTAGTGAGACTTGAAGGAAAATCTCAAACTCTGTGACCGCCTTGTTTTTTGGGAAAATGCCAGTAAGCAAATTCTAGGGAGCACGGCTTGAAACAAAAGGTACACGCTGCCCTGTGATGTCCAGTTGGGTACAGGTATTTATTGAGCCCTTCTACTGAGACCAGTGGTTCTCAAAGTGGGGTCTGGGAACCCTTAACGGTCCCTTACACTGTTTTGAAGGTTTGTGAGATCAGAAGTATTTAAGAAATGGTACTAAGATGTTATTTGCTTTTTTTCATTCTAATTCTCTCACGAGTGTATAATGAAATTTTCCAGAACCTACATGTTATGTGATATCATAACAGATTCAATGCAGAAGCAGATATAACATATGTTTTCTATTAAGCCAGACACTAAAGGGATTTGCAAGAATGCTAAACAATTAAGAAATTAAAACAATCTCACCCTTCTCACTACATTTTGGTATAGAAAATACTGCTTTTTAAAAAAATCATGCGTGTGGGAGAAAATAGATTGGTTTCTCTCTCATATTTATGTTCCTCTCTCCCCAACCCCCCTTCCATTCCTCATACTTTAAAATCAATAAAAACATATCCCTGAGTGAGGATTTTAAAATAGTGCTGTAATTTATGTTAACATGTAATGGATTTGTTATTTTAACGTGACTTAAATATTTTTCACATTTCTCACTTTTAATTTCTAATGTAATAAATATCGTAAATGCAACCCATAAACAAAAGGCCTTTAGGACTCTCAGTAGGTTTTAAGTGTAAAATTACTGCTCGCATCAGCCACTGAATTGGGCACTGGAATCGCGGGACATGAGCGGTAAAGCACTTCTGATTACAGAAGTCACAGAGGCAATGCAACGCGCTAACAGTGAGGAAACCAAAGAACAAAATCCCCAAACACCGTTTCTGAGTGCATGAGAGTGAAAGCTGGAAGTGCAGAGGCAGTTGTTTTTCAAAGCATAGTTTTGCACTTGCATCTGAATTGCTTGGAGTTGTTATCATTTTTTAAATCCATTTTTTATTGATTTCAGAGAGGAAGGGAGAGGGAGAAATATAAAAACATCAATGATGAGAGAGAATCATGGATCGGCTGCCTCCTGCACGCCCCACAATGGGGATGGAGCCTGCAACCTGGGCATGTGCCCTGCTCGGGAATTGAGCCATGACCTCCTGGGTCACAGGTTGACACTCAACCACAGAGCCACACCAGCCGGCTGCTTGAAGTTATTTTTAAAAATACAGCACCATGAGTGCCAGGTCAGGGGAGGCCTCAGGAAGCTGCACGGGAAACCAGTTCCCTTGTGGCTCTTCCACTTGCTCTAGTCTGAAAACCACGGGGAGAGCATTTCCAGTGGAGGAATGGCCCTGGCTGGTTTGGCTCAGTGGATAGAGCGTCAGCCTGCGGACTGAAGGGTCCCAGGTTCGATTCCGGTCAAGGGCATGTACCTTGGTTGTAGGCACATCCCCAGTTGGGGGTGTTCAGGAGGCAGCTGATCGATGCTTCTCTCCCATTGATGTTTCTAACTCTCTCTCCCTCTCCCTTTCTCTCTGTAAAAAATCAATAAAATATATTAAAAAAAAAAAAAGCAGGAAATGACTACACATTCCTGAGTAGAAAAGAATCAGATAAAAACGGCCTTTCTGGTGAATTATTATTGTAGTTATAAACTGAGAGAAAAGAAAAGGACTAAGAAGTTGCGAATGTTGCTTAGGATGACATTTCGGTGATTACAAACCATTCCTGTGCGAAGAAGGAACCGTGCCCCTACCTTCTAGTTTCTGGATGCGCGCAGCCCTGACGTCCAGAAGGTGGACGTACTGTTCCACTTTGAGCTCATAGTCTTGCTGCAAATTCTCCATCTTCTGGGTCACTGCCTCAACTTCCATCTAAAAAATAAGAGAGAACACGTTTCAACATGTGTGAATCGTTCCATCTTCGTTTTTAAAGCAAGAAGGATCCAAGCGTTTTCTAGACCCTGCACATGCCAGGAACTGTAACCCAGTTTCCTGGCCCCGAGTAGCTTATGGCTGAACAATCCCCCTCAGGGCTGTTCATAAACCAGAAGTGAGGTCCACAGACGGGCCCGTTGGGCGGAGGTGGTTTTCCTGTGGCTCCCGCTGTGGATGAGGGACTGGAGGGGGGGGCGGCGGAGGGAGACACGACACATACACACACACTTCAGAATCCCTGCCTCTTGTTTGCAGAATGTAGTGACTCTAGTCCAGGCCAGTTTGCACTCTAAAACTAGGATCTTGGCCTGGCCTGTGTAGCTCAGTGGTTGAACATCTACCTATGAACCAGGCGGTCATGGTTTGATTCCCAATTAGGGCACAAGTCCAGGTTGCAGGCTCCATCCCTAGGAGGGGGCGTGCAAGTAGCAGCTGATAAATGATTCTCTCTCATCATTTGTTCTTGCACAAATTTTTGTGCACTGGGCCTTAGTATATTTATAAAAAACATAAAATCAGGAATTTAAAATTTTTTTACTTGTCTTAAAACTATTTCTTCTAATTACTTAGTTATATTTATGAGAACGTCCACGCATGTGGCAACACATGCCCGCAGATTATAACAAGGTAACACGTGATTCTGGTGAGGAAGGTGAGTCACTCGTAGAACATGACAGGAAGCTTCCTCACCCAAGCCGTGTGTTGCATTACCTGGTAATCTTTATTAATTTTATGTTGCATGATCAGCATGTTCCTTGTCTTCTCAAGCTCTTGCACGGTCTCTGCATGAGTTGCTTGCAGCTCCTTCATGGAGCGTTCTAGATCTTTATGACTTTTAGTGTCTATTTTCTCTAAAAAGGAAAGTTCTCCATTTCTTTGTGATTTTTGAGCCTAAAACAAAAACACGTCTTATTATTGAAAACAAGAGTTTCTAAAATGTAATAATGTGATTTAATATAGATAGAGCAAGGAAAAATCATTAATTGAAAACAGATATATTTCCATTTTCCACCAGGAATAAAGTAGTCCTGGCACAGAAAAGATATTTGGACAGACATTTGGAACAATTATAGAGAGTTCGAAAAACAGTTTATTTCTTCATGAGATAAAAAAGAAGTCATGTACATTTATTTCGATTTCTATTTCTTCATTTGATTAAACTCTACACTGTGATGATCTCAAAGGAAAGAAATGCATTTTCTCATGTTTTCCTGTAAACAACAGAATATCCTAGAACTGGAAAGTATCTTCTGGTAACACTTACGATTCAGTATTTTACTTAAAATAATAACGGGAGCTGTTGCCGGTTTAGCTCAGTGGATAGAGCATCTGCCTGTGGATTGAAGGGTCCTGGGTTCGATTCTGGCCAAGGGCACGTACCTGGGTTATAGGCTTGATCTCCTGCCCAGGCCGGGGGCGTGTGAGAGGCAACCAATCAATGTTGTCTCCCTCCTGTCGCTGTCTCTCCCCCTCTCTTCCCCTCTCTCTAAAGATCCACAGAAAAGTATCCTCGGTGAGGATTAACAACAACAAAAACAGTGAATACCCACGTCTAAATTGTTGCTTAGTTTTATCATCAAGCATGTAAAAGTAAAAATGTTTGTCACAGTTGGACCAAGTACTATAGACAAGCGCTTTTAAGGTCTATTTTAATGTGACTTTGATGTCCTTATGAAATGTGCATACGCCCTAACTCAGTGTCACCTGACCTCTCTCTGCACCATTCACTCTCCCCGTGTGAGGGCTATGGGGACGGGTCTGATTATGCCGGGACAGGCCCACGCAGACATGATGCTCGTGGGGAGGCTCGGAAAGTTACCTTCACGAGCAGAAGGGCTTCGCTCAGCTCATCGGCGTTCACGTCGCTCTCCTGCAGAAGACAGAGCCAGTCAGAGCTCACAGGGAGATGCGAGTGGAAAGCACAGGGCACATTCCAACCACACAGACCAGCCTCATGGAACGAACATCCCCAAAGTCACATATCTGTACCCCTGTTCTCTCTGGAATAGGGCTTTCTCTGCGTGCGAGCCGTGCAGAGAACGAGCTGGATTTACATCCCACAGGAGAGAAGGGTTCACCTGGTTGTAAAACTTCATGCGGTTTTTAAGGTCATCGAGCTGTTGCTTTTCCTCCAGGCAGCGCAATTGCAGCTCTCGGTTCTCTTGGACGAGTCTCTCATTTTGGTCTTGAAAAGAAAGAGACACAGTGGGAAGGTGTAGAGAACGCGGTGGGAGAACACGTTTTACACGGATGCGGCGAGCTGCTCGGGCAGAGAGGAAATTTGCTTGCACCCAGAGGCCGCGGAGCCGCCTGCTCTCAGATGTCGCCCATATGATTCCCTGCTTATCAAAAACTTAAGACGCAACTTCGCAGTATTAATAGAAGGAAATTGTGGCCTCCGGGACTTCAAAGGAGCATTGGATCTAACATACTTAGGAAAATACGTTCCTAAATCTGTGATTTTTACTTACTCAGGAAGGGTCCTGAAAAGCATGCAAAAAAAATAAAAAATAAAAAAATAGATCCTTTGGTTTTTGGGGTTCCTTGAATTTATTTTCTTTTCCCAATTTAACATAAAGTATTTTTAGTTCAAACAAGGAAATTTCTCTGGGAATAACTAAAGCCATCATTTTAATCAACGACACTTTTGACTAATCTGTTCAGATAGGAGTGGTGGCTTCCCATCCAGGGCAGGGCAGTGTCAGTAATAGTTCGTGTGTGTTCTTGGTGGGCTCATGCCGTTAACTAGAAGGACTGGGGCTCAGAGCCATCATTATGGGACGGGGGTCCGTTATGTTCCCCGAGGCAGTCATTGGCTGTGACCCACAGACAGGGGCTCAAAGGAAGAGCTACTGAGGACGGTAAATCCATAGACTAATTTTTCACTCGCCGCGTTAAACAAGTTGTACGTTTCTGTTTCCTTTCCTTAAAAAAAGGCAAGTCAACACATTCGCCAAGAATTCTTCACACAAGTGCATTTGCACACAGACTGCAGTTTACACAAAAACATGTTTCTGACATTTATAGTACTTTCTGTTTCCAAATTAAAAATACTGCATGTAAGTAAAAATGGTAAAATATACAGTTAAGAAGAAATGGAATAAATTCAGATATTTCCTGGAAACTGAAAAATAACACACACACACACACACACACACACACACACATACACAACCTGTGAAACCTGTGACTAGGGTATGAAGAGGCCTTTTCATATCAACTATATAAAGTTTTTCTTATTGATAAGAGGTTAAAGGTTATCCTAGAGTATAAATGGCTAGTATTTAGTGAACAAAATAAAAAAAAAAAGTAAAAACATGAACAGTACTTGGAAAATCTGAAGGTGAAGGTAAAGGTGAAATGGTTGGCTTTACACTAAAAATTAGGATTAATGATAACCATGAATTCTCGTGAGATCGACTTGCTTTCTGTTTAGAGAGTAGGGTAGGAGTGCGGAATGCTTTATTTTCTGTGAGGAGGCTAAAACAACATCTAGTCAGAAAGACCGGGTAACAAAAAGAAGGTGCATGTGGCCAGAAGAATGTAAGAGCTGAGGTGCGGGGATATTTCTGTGGCGAGCAGACTGCCAGGGATTCTGAGGGTGAGCCAGTGGGAAGGACAGGACTGCTCATCTGGATGATGATTTCTGAGCTCTAGTTTCTTTATTGTTTCAATTTTTCAGATCAGGGCCCTCAGAAGGACACTCTAATAGGTATAAATAAACTTGTTCCAATATTTCTTCTGTTATTGATTTTTGTTTCAACAACTACGTCCCCATGTGTTCGCTGATATTTTAAAAAAAACACCATGACATTATTATTAAGAAAATAACTTAGTGGGAAAAGATGTTATGGAATACCAATAACTTGCTCTCTGTTAAATTTTATGTAGAACTATCCACTGTATTTTTCCTTTCTTAAACTATTTATTGAGAGACGATATAGTTCAAAGAGGAAACAGACTCACTGAATTACAATATGAAAAATCAAAGCGCCCGGTACGAGATGAAAAATAACCTCCTTTACGTTAGGATTTTGACAAAATGCATGTTAAGCTAAACAGCATTTTATTCAAATGAGGTAACATTTCGCTCTTTAAAAATGATGCTCTCCAAGCACACCACTCATAAGCAGAGTGCAGAGAACAATTCAACTAAACAATGTTCAAACTCCTTTGTGCTAGTATCTTCAGCTGCGATCAATATAAGCTCACACATTATGCCGGATTATGCATTTCGGCTAAAGATAGAAAGGAACTTTCAAAGCGGGCCTTTAAACACATGCAGTTAATTTAAGCGTTAACCAAATGCAAACTGCATTTACATATCCTTCCCCCACACATTCACACAATCTGAAACTCATTTGTACCTTGAATAAAGAGGTGAGTATTTTTTAAAATAATCTGCCAGTTAGATGAATGGCTACAAGGGGCCAGAGAAACATCTCTGGCAGAGAACACTGGTACATGGAAAGGTAAGTGTGTGAAGACTTCAAAGCAAAATTAAACAATTTCAGAATCTGTTATACAAAAAGCAACTTTCTAAACATGATAAGATTTCCTTAAATAGGCAACTTCAATTTTTTTGAATTAGTGTTTCCCTGGAAAAAGTGGATAAAGGCTATAATATTTTTCTTATACTCTATTTTAACTTTTCACATAAACACACAATTCAAATTATTAGATCTATAAATTATTCAAGTGTTTAAGCAAAAATAACTTAGAATAACAGTTGCAATAAAAATATTTAGATCCAGTAATATTTCTTTAGAAAATAAATGAATAACTGTACAAAGATTTGTTTAGAATCTTTTTATACTTAAAAAACTAGATTTAAAAATTCATCAACAGAAGATTGTTAAACAATCCATGGTACATCCTCACCCTCAAAAACTATGACAACCATTATAAACAATGATGATGTGAATTTATATTCATACTCAAGGGGTGATTTCATAATATGGCAAATAAAAAAGCATTATAAGACTGTATACATATAGAATACTCTGCAAGGACATACAAAAATATTGATAGAGATTATCTTCAAGGTTGTGAAATTGAGAGATTTAAAAAAAAACTTTTTTTTTGAATTTTTTACAGCGTACATGGGTTATTTTTATTATTCAAAAATCTAAAAGAGAAACAAGAATCAGTAAGAGAGAGAGAGAGAGAGAGAGAGAGAGAGAAACAGAGAAATGGACTAGTTTAAATAAAATAACTAAGCAATTGTAGCTTTAATAATTTATAAGAACCCTCAGAATTGCTTCAGCAACAATAAACAGGTTTTGTTTTTAAAAAGGCCACAAGATTCTAACCCCCTTATGAAGAATTTCTTTCCAGAGACTAATGCAGATGTCTAGAGATAAGAGTTCTGGAATTCTTAATATCTAGGGAAGTATGAAAAGCATAGAAGTAAGCGAACTTGACTTCATTTCTGTTTTCTGTAAGAATGGGAAGTGCACATGTTTTTGGAGAGGAGAAGAGAGGTAATAGAGAGTCTTACTTCCCTCAGTGAGCAGGACTTTACTGAGCAGCTCCTAAACAGAGCTCTCTCTGAGGGACGCAGCTCTGAGCTGTAAAATCAGAAGCTCGGTCTTTGAAAACTTTGAATATCCCCCTGGTCAGAAATCATGCCACCATCTTATCCTACTCACAATCTTATAGAGAAACATGCACAAGTAACCTTTCATCAGATTTAATCACTTAAGTAGAAGTATTTTCCTGAAATTGAGACTACATCAACTATTAAATGTGTTGTTCCAACCTTCTTAAAGTGTTAAAAATAAGTCAGAAGATGATTTTTAAATGTTATGATTTATAAAGTGCCAATTTCAGAAATGTTGAAATTGGAAAGAAAATCTTTCCTATAGTTAATGAAATATGGCATTGTGATCTAAATCATAATTCGGCATGATGCGTGAGCGTATGTTGATATAGAGTCCTGACTAGATAGGTAATTTTTTATGTCCTCATACAACGAAACTGCAAATGTTCCAAAGGAATAGCTAGTGGGTGAGCAACAGCCACAACATTTGAAGCAAATAATTCCATATCCCGGTTGTGCATTTGTGTGTAATGTAGAATTCAGAAGTCAAACATCTACTGTTAGAGTTATTTTACTTCCATGAGACAGGAAGAGTGAGGTGAGACTCATAACATGTATCTTATTCATGATTATTACCATATTATTACTCAGAAGGATGTCTTATTATTTTTTTTTTCATAATCAGTCCTTGTTTTTTCTTCACAATATGAAAAACAATATAAAGCACACTCACACACACTTGACCTCCCTCTGGTACTCCTGTTCTCTGCCCACCTCTCCCCACTCTGGTTGGAATTTTTACAGTAGGACATGTTGCCAAGGCTGCTGGTCTGTAAGTTCAGGGTCATAGTGAAGAAGTAGAGCTGAAACCGGTTTGGCTCAGTGGCTAGAGCGTCTGCCTGAGGACTGAAAGGTCCCAGGTTCGATTCTGATCAAGGGCATGTACCCTGGTTGCGGGCACATCCGCAGTAGGGGGTGTGCAAGAGGCAGCTGATTGATGTTTCTAACTCTCTATCCCTCTCTCTTCCTCTCTGTAAAAAATCAATAAAATATATTTTAAAAAAGAAGTAGATGGTTCCCCTTACAGAGATCTTCCCTGCTGGCCCCTGCCTCTCACACTGTTCTGCTCGTACTGATCGCGGGCCACTCCTGCACCCGTTACCCTCACTTCGCTGCTGTGTCCTCCCCACTGAGTGGATGCTGCCTGTGGGCAGCGCCTGGGGTAGCCACTGCCCAAGCCCATGCCCTGCAAACACTGCTGCTCAATAAACACTGGGGACTGTTGGAGAAAGGCTCAACATTGAGGGAAACTAAATAAATTAAAGACTATCTGAATAAGAATGACTCTGAGAAGAAAACGATTTCTTTGGCCCAAAGGCCAGGACGAGGAAGAGAAAGGTGTGAGCCACCCTCATACTCGTGGGGCGGAGGGACGGCGGCTGCCACAGGCTGTGTCTCCCACACGTGGCCAGGTGCCCAGCACACAGGGCCCCCTGAGCCCGGATGGGGGTGAGTCACCGAGCCAGCACGGGTGTGAGGTGTGCGAGCCAGCGGCCGCGGGCAGGTACCTCTTTCGGCCTTTAACCTGTCCAGGATGTCCGCTTTGTCGGCCAGGTCGGACTTCAGGGCCGTCTCGAGTTGTGCAATCTGCACTTTGAGCTGCTGCTCCTGGCCCCTCCACTGCTCCTCCCGGGCGGTGCTGAAGGCGCTGCAAAACACGGACACCGAGGAGAGGTCAGAAGCCAGAGAGGCACACAGGGAAGCATCTAGTGGCCCGAGGACCACTGTCATCATGTCTCAGGAATTAAGTAAACATGTGCTGGTCTGCTGCTGTGAGACCCAGGCGCCTTCCTCGGGCTGCGGTCGGGGACATGAAAGGGCTTGTGGGATGAGCAGAGGAACTGGCCTTAATTTAGACTCTGGAGTCGGAGGAGCTGGCAGCGAGCGGGGTTTGTGGGACCCGGGCAGCATTCCGATGCCGTGCGTGCTCCAGAGGGAGCCGCCGCCAGACCGCAGCCTCGCCGTCCGACAGGGCCCGTCCCCCCCACCCAGACCCTCTTCCTGAGCTCTAGCCTAGAATCTGGAACTTCTCAAGAGTCTGTGATAATGAGCAAGTCACAAAACACCAGCCGCAGAGCGATGGCACAGCGAACCACAAGGCAGCGGTTCTGATGCTGAGTGGTGATAAGGCAGTTTTTGTCCTAAGAAAACAAAAAGCAGTAGGCTGAAGAACAAGTTTCGCTTGTAACACATGATGGGGGTGAAACCCCAGAAGAACACTCCGATAAGAATGACAAGGGTGGAATTCCTGTCCCTGAAGGGAAGTGCAGCGATTTAAACTGTGGTTAAAATCTACCAGGGACCAAGGTTGGAGGAACTAGTTGCAGTATAACTAGACGGTATACAGAAGGAATACACTACGCATTCATTTAGACCAGCGGTTCCCAAATGCGGCCCCAACTACACTCTGAAGCTTAGACCAGCTCCGCACAGAACGCTTGGAGACAGTTAAAGAGGAAGATCCAGGGCCCAGGTGATGGCCAGGTTTGGAAAAACCGATCTTGATCTGTATTTCAGCAGAAAACTATTATCTGTGAAGCTTGATATGACTGAATAATTATCAGCAGCTTGGACCTTTCTATTTCCTTGAAATCCAGCAAATGAAACAAAAACCTATGAGATCTGCTTTCGTGCGGATGATGGAGAGAATGAAAAAGAAAGTTGTTACTGAAAATTGCCCTCATGTTGCTCCCAGCTCGTCTTGAGGTTTTTGTAGCAAAAGAGATACTTTTCCGGGAGCCCTAGCTTTCAGAGGAAACACTGTGCGTTCATTTTACATTTTGAATGTTTTTATTGCATTTAAAATAACAGGGCCTTAAAAATGAATGGAATTCTAAAAGTTTTTCTAAACAGGACATCTGTTTCATCTATCAGTGTTCTCCTTTCACATATGGAATCTGAAAAAAAAAAATGTATGGATCTAATCGAGTAATATTTTTAATTAATTTTAAAAAGGTACAATTGCCTAGACTTAAATCCAAACACAATATGTACTTTACCTACTAGAGTAAAGAATATTCCTTTACATTTTCACTTTTAAATAAAGAAATACGATTTCTTTGTCTGGTTAAATTATATATCCCAAACGCATGCATATATATACATCCATGTCAGTGTGTGTGTATGTGTGTGAGTGTGATATTATTAAAAACATGTACTACCCGGAAAAAAATTAGCATGATGAAATAGGCACAAGTATACATTATATCAGATGCCAAAAATTAGAAACAGTGGTGTTCCACTAGCATTAGTACCAGCGAAGAGATCACCAACAGTTAATCTGGCAGAAACATCAGAAGCTGTGTGTGTTTAAATTAAGAACAATTTAGCAGCCTGGTTTTTCCAAACCCACAAAATACTAGTGTAAATCAGCGTAAGTCAATCTGAATTTAGCCCACTGCTATCTTCCCTCTAAATTTAGGATTACATTCCACTGCAGTTTCATGAGGAATTCCTTTTGAATTTACTGTACTCCTCTGCGCTTGGAGCCATCTGTGTAGCTATAAATGGTGAACCACATCTGGCTCCATTTTCTCGGTGAGGGCTGTGTCCATGATTAAATCTGCATATGAGCACAGTCTCTGAGAGCCTTTTCCTCATGAAAACGTCTTTGTGCACTGCCCACAGTGACAACGGTTGGTCGTGGGGCACATTTCACTGTGCCGCAGGAGTGACAGAGGGTCGCCCTGCCGTGGAATGGCCACTGGAGCTTTGGGTCAGCACCCTGGAAATGCACCCCCTGATCAACCACAGGGTCGGATGGAAATGGAGCTGAGCAATTCCACCCTGGGATCGTGGTTCTTACAGGACAAATGCCACTTATCCCAATCTTCAGGGGCATCCTACGGAGACAGGGCAGTTTAAGCTCTAAATCGCCCTCAAGAAACCCACAGTTGGGACCTCATGGGAATTAAGTCCATGTCTACGTCAGGGACATTTCACTTGTTGAAGGAGAAATGACGGCCCAGACCGCTCGGTTTGGTTTCTGGGAAGCACATGGTGCTCATCCGTGATCACACGGGCTTTCACAGCTCCTGGCAGGCTGCAGAGGCAGGTGCTCTCTTCAGGGACGAGCACAGTCTAGGGGGTCAGCTGGCTCCTTTACGTTTTGAATATTAAGTGACCATTACATTGCACAAACTTGATTCACCCAATTCTTTTTTTTTTTTTTAATATATTTTATTGATTTTGTACAGAGAGGAAGGGAGAGAGGTAGAAAGCTAGAAACATCGATGAGAGAGAGTCATCGATCAGCTGCCTCTTGCACACCCCCTACTGGGGATATGCCCGCAACCAAGGTACATGCCCTTGACCGGAATCGAACCCCGGTCCCTTCAGTCCCCAAGCCGACGCTCTATCCATTGAGCCAAACCAGTCTCGGCTGATTCACCCAATTCTTAAAACAGTTCATGTCATCTTCAAAAATCAGACCAACTCTTTTTTTAAAACATGGGCACTAGATTAGGCTCTCAAGGAGTTAATTCCGTAAAATCACCTTTACAGATTCTCTGGATCCGATCTCAGATCGGCTGACTCTGAGTGGGATGGCAGTGGGTGCAGTTTCTGTTTTCAGGTTCTTCCCTTACAGGACCGCTGCAGGACTCTCGCATTCATTAATTACCTCACCCTAAAGCTATACTCACTTCAAAAACGGGACTCAGCTTTACTATGTTATCGTGTAGAGTTTCTCTCGAACCATATAAAAAGATGTAATTGCCAAAAATGTATCCTGGATTTTTAAACATTTCTTAAAGCTATGCTTATTTCTTGGCATCGGCTCCAAAATGTTTTCACATATTTAAAAAAAGGCTCATTCCAAATGCTAACATGAGGGCTTTATCTTAGCAGATGATGCTCTAATATGTCATCTGTCAAGTAATAAACACATTCAAAATTTCATTCGAAAATGGAAGATGAGAACGCAATCTGCAAATCACATTTTTCTCCTGACCACGGGCCAAGTCTGGAAAACAAACAAATGCTCCCCTTTTACAAACATGCTATCACTATGACCAACCCAACCGACAGTGTGTGGAGTTTGATGAGCGCTAGTTGCTGGCAATGATGAATCACAGTGCCACGGAGCCCAGGAGGGTAAAGAATTTTAGGAATGATGTTGATATCTGCAGTGAGGGGAGTTTCTGTGGAGTTTTGTAGTTTCTCCAACTTCTGAAAACATGTATTTAAAAAGTTGTGTTAGGGAATTTTATAATTCTATTTACCGTTATGTGTATGCTTCCGGGGTTTTGTGTTTAAGTGACAGGATTATTTTTCGGGACACAATATTATGACACTCATTACACACATTGACTTCCATATGCCTGACACAACATTCAAGTGTAAGCAGTATAATGAAGTCTGGTTAACGTAACAGAAAAAAAATGTAGCTCAACCATAAAACATGAAAGAAAAAAATGACAGTCAAAGTTATATTTACACTCTTAGATCATCTTCTAATATGAAAAGATAAAGTTTCATGGTGATAAAGTAAAATGAGAAAAACATGTCTTTCTCAAAATTCCACTTATGCCTTATTCCCAGGTAAGCTTTTTACTCCAAAAATATTTTCAGTAAGTCCCCTAATTGGGAGGAAGTAGAGAATGTATAGGCAATGGCTAAATGGCACTTATTTTCTTGTTTTAAGACTATGTTAGAGTATTTTAAATGATAAGGAATTGAAGATAAAATCAATAAAAATTTCTGAATCTGACAGTTTTGTTATCCCATAAATGTTTCCTTTATAATACACAATTTTCCAATCCAATTAAAATCAGAGAAGTAGTGAGGCACAGGGGGAAAGATTAAATTTAGGATAAAAATAACTGGGGTTCAGTCCTGCACCAGAGTCTCAGCAGAGCCCTGTGCCTCTGTACAAGTCTCACTTTTTTTGAGTTTCAATTTCCTCATTTATAGAACACGAGGGTAACATTCTCTCCACCACAGAATATGGTTGTGTGATCTGTATACTGAAACTTGCATTTTTCAAACACACACCTATTAAATACTTGGGTACAAAAGAATATAAACCTATGTATTATTTCATAGAGCTGGAAATATAAAATAGGATATATAATAAATGCTTCGGGTGAAATGAATTAGAGCTCAAGAGAGGGACCAGAACCAATACTACGGCCCAATGACCTGGAAGAGGGTCTACGGCAAATCCCACAAAAAGAACTGAGCCAGGCTGTCCTTGCTGGGGAGCCTCAAATATTACTTGACTGATGTTTGAACCTCTATTTGTAACCCTCAATATAAGGAGCCACTGTGCGAAGACAAACACCATAGTTAGGCAGCAGAGATGATACATACCATTGGAATGATGCCTAACATTGAGTTACGTTTCTTTTCAAAGTAAAAACTAATACAAACCTATCATTATACTCCTTAGATATGATTTAATTTTAAAAATATACAGTTAGTTTACAAAACATTAAGCATAGTTAAAAAGTTAAAGATGTATCTGTAGATAATCTATTTTCTGATGTTACAAAATATGATCAATAGAAGCAACTGTTGCTATCAGCTCTAACATGTATATTTTAATGTTTTTAAATTTAAGTTCACGTAAAGGTGTATTTATAATTTATTAGTATCATATACTAAACTCACGCACACACACAGATACCTGTGTCACTTAACAAACTTAGCTGTGGAGTAAAAATCTGTTTCTAACATTGTAAGAGATTTTTAAAAATACCTTAATTAGGAAGGAGATAAACAAAATCAAAACAGTTCTTTAAAATTTATTTTGAAATAGAAATGCTGTGCTACTCTTTGTAAGGCACAGAGACAACTGCAAGTGAACACTTTTTAAAATTATTTTCTTTATTGATTAAGGTATTATATTTGTGTCCTTATCCTCCCCATCGCCCCTGCTCACGCCCTCACCCCCGCTGTCTGTGTCCATTGGTGAGGCTTACATGCATGCACACAAGTCCTTTGGTTGACCTCCCTCTTACCCCCGCCCTCCCCTGCCTTCCTTCTGAGGTTGCCTCCGCCAGCTCACTCTCAGCTCATAGGCTGGGTAGCCCATTGGAAGAAGCAGGGGCTTGGAGAGACCTACAGAGGTTCAAATACAAGCTCTGCTACCTCCAAGCTGTAAGGATGTGGGCAAGTTCTCAATCCTGCTTTATTTTCATTGTCTGCAAAATGGGCATTTCCAATGCCTGCATCTCCAGGCTGTTGTGAGCAATTTACAATAGTGTATGAAGAGTTCTTAGCACAGGGCCTACTAGCTTATAGTCTGTTCAATAAACAACAGTGGTTGTTACTGGTAACAAAGCGATAGTTTTCTAAGTTAAACATTACCACTCAGATTAAAGAACTTATTACCAATGCCCCAAAAGCATATATGTATATATATATTTAATAATATATATGTTTCTTGCAATCATCTATAGCTGATTTTTACATAAATATTAGATGGTCTGATACCCAATGCTTTGATAGACAAGATTTCAGATAAATGAATGAGAGAACACATGGAATTTTGACTTACCTGTTATAAAGTTTATCATAGTTTTCCTTTAAAAGTTCCCGTTCCTTTTCTAAGTCGTTAATTCTATCTTGCAGCTAAAATGAAAAGAAAATTACACATTAGGAGATTCTCCTATGAAACGGCAGGGGGTAAAGACTCTGGAGAGGCAGCTAACACGGTTTAGTCCTGATTTCTAAATTGCAGCTGCTAACTAGGCCACTTATATTGTCTGTATTTAATTTAGCCCTCATTTTTTCCCCCCAGTTGTTAAGTAAACATGAAATTAATATCTCTGTTTTAATTTAGTAGAAATGCATGCACTACTTTATGGCAACCTGTGCCAAAACTCAATAAAGAATGTGTTAAAAGCTTGCTGTTAAGTCTGGAGAAACACTTTTTTCTTTTCTCTCCAATGAATTCCATCGTTATATTCACTTTGTCTTAAATTTCCAATTGGCCCATAAAAAAGTAAAAGGATCAACTTTTCTTTTGGTTCATGGTCCACAGAAATGTGTCAATCACTATTTACTCTGAAGATACACTTTCTCATGTCACCTGGAATTAGCAAAAAGCCAGAAGCACATCTTTTAAATATATGAATGAAAAAATAAAATTGCCTTAGCCAGTGTGGCTCAGTGGATAGAGTGTCCACCTGTGGATTGAAGATCCCAGGTTCGATTCTAATTAAGAGCTTGTGCCTGGGTTGTGGGCTCGATCCCCAGTGGGGTTGCATGCAAAAGGAAGCAAATCAATGATTCTCTCTCATCACTGATGTTTCTCTCTCTCCCTTCCTCTCTGAAATCAATAAACATATATTTTAAAAAACAACAACTGCATACCTTTTTTTATCCCAATGAATATTTTTAGAAATTAACTTGGGGTAATTATATCCTTATGATTAAAATGTAGCTTTATTTATTTCTGGTATTTACATTTATGTTTCATTCAGCAGTATATTTTATAGTTACAAACTCTTCCCATGGATCCAAGTACTCTTAAAATTCATTTCCCTTCTCAAATCCTCTTTTGAGGCACAGTAAAAGATTCTCCCAAGGTCAGATCAGAATGTGGGCATCTTATTTCATGTCCATTTTCATCAAGAACAAGTTTAACAGACTACTGCAAGGTAGGAGGCATGAGTAGCAACAATAATAGGGAGATACACTTTCTTATTTTTAATAAATACATTTTTATTGATTTCAGAGAGGATGGGGGAGGAAGAGAGCAATAGAAACAGCAGTGATGAGAGAAAATCATGGATTAGCTGCCTCCTGCTACCCCTCCCACCCTCACCTGCCCCACTGGAGGGGATTGAGCCTGCAACCCTGACACATGCCCTTGGCCGGAATCGAACCTGGGACCCTTTAGTCCACAGGCTGATGCTTTATCTGCTGAACCAAACCTGCTAAGGCAGGAAGATGCATTTTTGAAGAGCTTCTTAGAAAAACATTTTTTCCTCCACAAAATTGCTAATGTTGCAAAATACAACATCCTTCTCTTCAGAACCAAATATATTCCTATAACTTGGTTTTTGTCTTGCGAATGACTAATAAACTTACAACTGAGGAAGCGGAGTTCCACAGGTAACCTGTTTCACAGTGTCTTCTTTCTCCTCAACGATCTTTATTTTTTTTATTTTTTATTTAAAAAAAATATATTTTATTGATTTTCCACAGAGAGGAAGGAAGAGGTATAAAGAGCTAGAAACGTCAATGAGAGAGAAACATCAACCAGCTGCCTCTTGCACACCCCCCGCCGGGGATGTGCCCGCAACCAAGGTACATGCCGTTGACCAGAATCGAACCTGGGACCTTTCAGTCCGCAGACCGATGCTCTATCCACTGAGCCAAACCAGTTTTGGCTCTCCTCAACGATCTTTAATTCTCAGGTCAACAGTGGCTCTCAGTACATGTGCAAGCATGGTTAGGCCCCGACTTGCCATGCCCATGACATGTTGTCTACACTCTGCTGTGCTCAGGGTGCCATGTATGTAGTTTAAGTTTTTCAATAACTATTTGAAACGTCTCTGTGTGACCTTGCCACGCTGTCAAGGGCAGAGCAGTTCTGAGTAGCGGGTGCGAGTGCCCTGGACGCTCACCTCTTCGATCCTCCCCTCGGAGAACGTCACGGCGTGCAGCTGCTTCTCCAGGCGGCTGCACTTCACACGCTGCTCTCTGAGCTGCCTGTTCAGCTCATCGCCATTGGCCAGCAGGGCGTCGTGGCTGATCCGGAGAGTTTTCTGCTTCTAAAAACCAGAAGGAAACTTTTAAAAAATATTTTTTGGATTATGATTTGAATAAGTGATTACAATTCTATAAATAAATTTACTCCTGAAGTTCATGCTATACTTCAAAGAAAGCTGAGTGTCCCCCCTTGTCCCTGGGTATGTGTTCCAAGACCTGCAGTGCAATAAAACTTGTTACTATGGTCTCTCTCTCTCTCTCTGAGAACCAAGATGGCGCGTCAGTGACTCACAGGCAGGTGACACAGTCAGGTTTGCTAGAGAAAGGGATGCCCCGTGTCCCAGGCAGAACGGAGCTCGATGGTCCAAGATTTCATCCCCTTACTCTGAACCGTATGTAATTCAAAACTGATGGATGTTTATTTCTGGGATTTTCCACTTAATATTTTTGGACTGCAGTTCACCACGGATAACGGAAACCGCGGGAAGCAAAGCCGCGGATAAGGGGGGGTTGTAAGACTGCTCACTGTACAGTCTGCTCACCGGAGCGCTGCGAGTTAATTAATCCCAGAACCGATGTTAATGATGCAGCGCGATGAATCCCTCCAATGGCACATTCCCGGGGGCCACAGTCTTTATTAAAACACTTATGGGGGTGAGCAGTCCCAAGTACTGTCAACCTCAATGGTTACAGCTTAAAATGAACACACTGATAGTTGACTTGACAGGTAGGCAAATATTCTTCTGATAATGGTAGTGGCCAAACAAAGCAAAACACCACATCAAAGAGAGACTTCCCAAAACCTGCCTATAGGCCTAGTATTCATAACTTTGGTCTATCTTGGTATATCAGAAGTGCTTAGGACTGAAGATATATGAAGACACCTCTAAACCTTCAGTGCTATGTGCCATGTAAATGAAGATAAAAGGAGTTAAAAATAATTTTTCTTGGCACGAGATTATTTATGATAAATGTACTTATTATTTTAAGATGACACAGATATTTATGGAAAGTCTGACCAGTTGGGTTATTTCTTTAGGTATTAAGTTATAATAACACATAATATATAGAGTGGAATTATACAAAATTGGGAATAAATAGCGTACTCTCTTAAAATTATTTCTTAGCAGCGTGACTATTCTACTTAAAAATATACAACTTGATAAAATATGTACACAGATAATAAATAAAAATATACAACTTGGACACTATCTTTGGAGCTTGGTACATAGGTATCACCATAATACAATAACTGGTCACGGTACCTCTTGCAGCTGAATGAATTTTCCTTCCATGACTGATAACGCATTGCTTTTCTCCACCAGTTGCTTATGAAGCTTAATCATCTCTACATTGTCCCGGATGTTTGACCTTCAAGGATGCGTTTAAGAAAAAAAGAGACGGAGTGAAAACAGTCAAGGCAAAAGGAAAACCAGTCTGTGACTCCATCACAAGGTTCCGGGGACCGTTCCCAGGAAAAATGTACACACTTGCAGGTCAGTCACCGAGGTTCTCCGTGGATCCCACACCTAGCGTGAGGTTTATGCTTTAAAACCAACCAAGAACCATTTTTGAACTTTATCAACCCACAGACCCTCCGAATTTGAAGGAAGCCCCAGGTGTGATGACTTGTGTCACCTACGCACTGACTGATCACACGGGTGTGAAGGACACTTGGCAGTGTCCCTCTCAGCACAGGAATGGTTCCATCGGCCTTCAGACTTACCCTCCTCCTTCCCCCTGAATGAAAAATGTGCACGACGGCGTTCATCTTCCCGCACGCCCGCCCAACAAATGGTATCATAAGATTACAATTTATTGGCGTTTCCTCCTGCAGTTTGAACTTTTCAAAATATTTCCAAAAAAAGTGACTTAGCGTTTTATACTAATAATGCCTAACGCTGGCATTTAAATCCGTAGCAGATGTGCCTCTCGCGGTAAGAGATCATTTACCGTCCACGGGGTACAGAGAAATTCTATATGTGCAACACTCGTTTGTATTTTTCCTACCGAGATTAAAGCAAATGTCGAGTTTAACAGGAACATCTAATAAAGGTTAATCACGGATCTAAATGAATACCTGTTTCAAAAGGCATTTCTCGTCCTGACAGAGAAAGGTTCCTTCACTGAATACATTTTACACTCGAGAGTTTCTTAAAAATTGTGAAGCTGGGTTTCCGACTTCACTTGTGAAGGAAAATAAACGTGAAAAGTTTCAATTCGGGAAACGTTTGCAGTGTTTAGAGTAATTTTGCTTCCAGAACTTATCTAGTGAACACATATTGCAAGAATTGTCACAACGCCCTACTGGAACCCGAGAACGGACTACAAAGCTCACACATCTGTAAACCAGCTGAGGACTTGAAATACTTAATTTTCCTCTTTGATATTTGAAAGTTCATTGCGTTTTGGCATCGGACAGTCAGTTGTCCTCACACAGAAGATAAACAAGTCCGAGAGCCCGGCTCTTGCTCGGGGTACGGTCTTAGCACAATGTTAAATAGGTACGTGTCTAAAACATGTTATCTACTAACTCTGGGCACACACTCCACAGAGCCCTCATTACTATCCCCCTGGGCATTATTTCCACTCTCAGAAGAGAGAATACTAAAGAATTAAACATGGAGAAAAATATATTTTGTTAAAAAAAAAATACAAATTTTTTCATATTTAAAAGTCAAAATATGATTTCTTTTCCCCCTCCCCCAAATGACTTGGTTTGGCCACTCAACAGTGAGTGTCATTTATTGATATGGAAGAGCAGAATACTATTCGAATCTTTTCCTATGTTTTCAGTTGTCCCTGATATTTCGTTTTTCTTAGTTTTGAGTATATTAATATTTTCTAGAAGATATGCAGGTCGGGGAGAAAGTAGGTTTACACTTGTTCGAATGGAAAATAATACAATAACTAATCAATTGTAATGCAAGAATAAAGTCTGGGTTTTATGTACTCACGACCATGTACTTTTGCCCCCATCTGTATATGTCAAATGGATTTAAATAAGAACTATTGCTTTATGGCGTTAATAAAGAATTAAGCCCCAATAACCCACCAAGGCATATAGGGTCATAGAAATAACGGGTTATTTTGAGTTTTCTTTGCATGGCAAAGGCCAGTAAGTATCTCCAGAACTTTCAGTGGCTTCACTGGTGGATGGTTTCTTGAGTATTTTCCTAAGCTCTTTGGAGTTTAGACTTTTCAAAGTATTGCCAAGAAAAGGGACTTAGTATTTTTTGCGAATAGTGCCCAACAAGTGGACACCAATGACAATGTGAGTGGTAGTTAGTGCCCAGCAATGGTGTTTTAAATAAAAAGCCAGCTCGTCAGGAGGGACATCTATCTGAGCAAGTGGTGACCAATGGCTTTTACATGTGAGTTTGAGGGCCATCGACCTAAGTCATTGCTGTGACTGTACGTTCTGAGGGCTTTCAAGGAGGATGACTCCCTGACTCGCTGAGTCAATGTTATAATAAACAGAAGATAAAATCAACAATTTAATTAATGTGGTCTGGCCTTCAAGAAAGTGGACAGTGGAAAATAATCTCAAACCTGATAATCAACTCAACGTGCTTACATAGATGAAATATGGTAAAAGAATACGATGGGCGCTGGTCGACGTGGCTCAGTGGTTGGAGTGTCAGCCCATGCATGGGAAGGTCTCCGGTTCGATTCCCCGTCAAGGGCAGGTTCGATCCCAGGCTCTGGGTGGGCATGTGCAGGAGGTGGCCAATCAGTGTCTCTCACATCGATGTATCTCTCTCTCTCTCTCTCTCTCCTCTCTTTCTCTTTCTCTCCTCCTATCCCCTCCTTTCTATTTTCTCTAAAAATCAATGGAAAAAATAGCCTCAGGAGTAGCAACAACAAAAAGAAGTGAGAGAGGAAAGACGGCAGACCAGGTCTCGGAAAGCTAACGGACAGACGAGGAATGCGAGGAGGACGTTGCAGGGGCCAGGGACCAGTCATTGGGAAGGGCGATCCGGCAAGGCTCAGGCGGCCGCCTCTGCAGAGAGGAGGCGGCTGGTTTAAGGCTCAGCATCTAAGTGACCTCTCCGGGCCCAGGCCCTGGGGTGGGACCATCAGGTCCTCAGGATGCTGCCATTCTAACGGGAGGAACGATGCACAGTAAGAACACTCGGATGACCTCCGACAGCCCTGCGCCAACTCACACATGCTGCATTACACATGGTGAAATGATGTGCAAACAGACAGCAAGCGTATCAATTAAAGTCTCTGTAAAAATAAACCTCTCCACCAACAGTTTCAAAAAACCCCCACTACGAACAATTAAGTTGGAAAATACAGTTTCGTTTCTCTCTTCTTTGGAACAGACACCTTATTTAGAAGGACGATAAAATCTAACACCATGAAAGGGGTTGTTGGCCCATCTCTAGATTGAAAACAAACTGAAATAAATTAGATTTTATGTTGAAAAAAGTAACACAGCTAAACAACCTATGTGCCAAGTTTCGCTCATAATTTGAAGCAGTCGCGCAATAAACTCCGAGAAGGAGCCTCTGAGAACACTTGCCTGCAGCCCTGCTACCGGTGCCATAACAGCCCCAGAAACCAGAGCTCCGGTCCACGGGGAGGAGAAACTCCACATTACGTCGCTTCTAATATGAGATCTTCAGGGGAAAAAAGACCTGTGCTTTGCTGTATTTCTTACACTTCCTCTCCCCGACCCTCCTTCACCCCCTCGCCACCCCCACTCACACCCCCTTCTCTGCTGCAGTAAGGACAGTGAATGCTTTAAAAAAGCCGCTTGAGCTGGGACCGGTTTGGCTCAATGGATAGAGCGTCAGCTTGGGGACTGAAGGGTCCCGGGTTCGATTCCGGTCAAGGGCATGTACCTTGGTTGCGGGCATATCCCAAGTAGGGGGTGTGCAAGAGGCAGCTGATCGATGACTCTCTCTCATCGATGTTTCTAATTCTATCTCTCTCCCTTCCTCTCTGTACAAAATCAATAAAATATATTTAAAAATAAAATAAAATAAAAAAGCCGCTTGATTTTGGAGGTAGCAGTGTGATGATCTAGCAGCTACCAGCATTTAGAAGAGAAGGCTTAGGAGTACAGGAGCGAGGCCCTGAGGGTCGGAGAAGGGGCCATGTAAGGTCTGTGGGAGATGGAATGGAGAGGCTCTTTTCTGAGCGATAGTTTCAGGCTAAGTTTGGGGGATCAAGTTGAGAATAACCTTAGGATGAAAAAAATTCTACTTTTTATTTTATTTTTTATTATTTTTTTAAAAATATATATTTTATTGATTTCTTACAGAGAGGAACGGAGATAGAGAGCTAGAAACATCGATGAGAAAGAAACATCGACCAGCTGCCTCTTGCGCACCCCCTACTGGGGATGTGCCCGCAACCAATGTACATGCCCTTGACTGGAATTGAACCTGGGACCCTTCAGTCCGCAGACCGACGCTCTACCACTGAGCCACACCGGCTTCGGCATCTACTTTTTTTTTTTTTTAAACGCTGGCAGACGTTCTGCAAGTGTATGGTTGAAGATGTGTAGGTCACCCACAGCTCCTGTTAGGACTACACAGGCAGCCACCACTAGCAAGGCCTCCCTTGCGAACAGGATTACAGGGCTGCTAGGAAGTGGAAGGGAACGTCCCACTGAAACGGCCGAGGGGCTACTTGAAGGTAACGGTTCCCCTCGCCCTGCTACCTGAGTTCACAGTGACCTGTGCCCGGATCCATGACTGCAGGGGCCGACATGCGTGTGCAGGTTCACTGGATTACATCTTTCTCGTGGCGCTGGGTCCAAATACAAATCGGAGCGCGGTCCTTTCTCCCTCTCCCACGCACAGAGGCTGGGGGCACAGTCGGGGGCTCTCTGCGGGCACGTGGTCACACTCCCCTGACCCTGGGGGCGCGCTCCGAGGGACTGGGTGGGGCAGGAAGAACTCAAACCCCGGCTCGTCTTCTCTAGGGGACCATTCTAGTGAGTGACACAGGTGATTTCACAATTATTAGAAGCAATAGTTGATAGGATATAGACTTCGATGAATAAAGGAATTAAATTAATACCATCTATTTAGCAGGGGGGAAAAATCTATCCTAAACACAAGGTCCCTAGGGGTAAAAGTGGCTGTTGATTTAAAGGTAGAAGAGATCTCATGCCCAATTCAGTCTCCAGCTCGGGGCTGAGGGGTTACCAGAGGCTCCGAGAAGGAATGAATTCATTCGCCAGCGTCCCCTGTGAGGGAGCCGGCACTCCCGTCCAGGTCTGAGAGAGGAGCCTGCCATCTCCTAAGTACTTCCGCCCTGAGGTGCTTCTGCGTTTTAGCTTTCCCCCCCCAATCTCATTTCGTACACACTCATACGTTACTATCAGTTGTGACAATTTCTGCGGTTTGTAT